AATTACTACTTAAAATTATATACTACGCTATATACTTACTAAACCTAAGACTAATTACTTTCTTTTTTTTACTACTAAACGCTACTATAATATCTTTTATTAGCTTAATCTCTTCTTCCTTATAGAACTATAGTAGTATAGCTACCTAGATCTAGCGCCCTTATACTATATATAACTTTAAGAATAACTTATATAACTATATAGGACGTTAGGAATTAAACAGACTGATTAGATTTAAGACTACACTACTAGCTATAACTAAAAAAGCTTAAAACTCCTAATTTATTAATCTTAGTATAAATAACTACTTTAGCTACTAGACTTAGGTATACCTATAAGTAGTACTTATTTAAAATAGTTTTATACGCTTTATTCTAACTAAACTTAATATATATTTTCCTAACTAGCTCTTTTAAGAGGATATAAATTAGTTCTTATAATAGTAACTAGTAGTCTTTATAATCTAGGACAGCTACTAAGAATAATAAGGCTAAAGCTACTAAAAAGTAAAAAGCTATCCTCTTTAATTACTATAACCTTTAGGGTAACTACTCTAAAGAGATTAAATAAAAAGGATAAGATTACTATAGCGTTAGAGGTTATAACTTAGGACTTATTACTAGTCTATAATATTATAGTAGTTCTAATTAGCTAGGAATATTTTACTAATCTAAACGTTACCTTAGTTCTAGTTCCTTAGTTACTTACTATTTATAAAGTAATTAGGACTTTTATATATTTAGTCTTTTTTTTACTATTTATTAATTATCTTAAACACTTTATAAAAATAATTATTAACTAATAAGATAGTATAGTCTATTAGTATAACCCTCTTTAGAAGGCAGGCTAATTTAAGGTAATTTTTATTAATAATATCTTAGTGCTCTAAAGATTCTACTAAGATATAAGGGCCTTACTATATATTAAGAATTTAATTAACGCTAGTGCTTATATTATTAATATAGCCTAATAGCCTAGCTTATAGAAGTGTAGCCTTTACGTTTTAAAGTAGTTCTAAATAGTAGTCTAATATAGTAAATTATACCTAACTAAGAATCTTATTTTCTAAAGTAAAAAAATAAAAGGTATACTAAGTAATTAAATATATATATACTAGATTTAGTAGATTAGCTATAAGTTTTACTATAAAAGTAACTAAGTTAATAATACTATATATAATACTTTAGAAATATATCTTAAGAACGTCTATAGTTAATATAAAAATATTTATATAAGGGTATTAGTAGGCACTAAATTAGACTATATAATTATTAAGAAGCTATATTTAAGGCTAGGCTTTATAGCGTTAATTAAATAAAGTATACTAACTAATCTTTAGATCTTTAGCTTATATTATTATTAATTAGTTACTAGCTAGAGATAATGCTTACTACTTAGACTATTACTAGGCTTTATACCTTAAAACCTACCTAATTAGTCTATCTTAGTAATAAATACTATTAAAAGAGGGTCTAATTCTAAGTATACTCTTATAAGTCTTATACTTCTTAGTTAAATATTACTAGTTACCTTATAACTAATTCCTTAGACGCTTAATATAACGCTATAATTAGAAAGACTTATACGTTTACTTATAAACCTATATTTACTCTTATCTTATCTAGGCTAACTCTATTATTAGTTACTAGAACTAAGCCTCTAGCTTAGGTTTTACTTAAAATTAAAGACGTTATAGAGGAGAACACTCTAACTTAGGCTTAACTACTTTAGAAACCCCTATTAATTAAGTAATATAAAGACTTATAGCTAAAAGAGATAACTTCTTAAGATCTAAACTTATAGTTAGAATAAGTAAATTATAAGTTAACACTTAGTAAGTTAGAGCTTAATTAGTAAAAAGCTAATAAGTTACTTTAATAAGAGGCTATAAATTACTATTATTAACTACTATACTACTAAAATAAGCTTTTTAAGAAACTAGTAATTAATAAGTATATATAAGAGGAATAAGTTAATTAATATAATAACCTAATTAATAAGTTAGCTTATATAACCTCTATATATACGCCCTAGGTACTACTATTATTAAGCTAGAATTAGGAAGGCTAGGATTATAAGGATATAAGGCTTTAATAAGATTATATAAAGGAGGTATATAAGTAGGAGGTAGAGGCTAAGAAGAAGAATAAGAAGAAGGGCTAATATTAATTTACTATAAAAGTAGTTATATAAAGGCTAATTTTAAAAATAATTTCTTCTTAAGAGGACTTATAAAGAAGAAATTAGGGGATAATTAGAGTAAGGTAGGGTAATTAGCCTAAAGTAAGGTAGTATATAGGCTAATTAGAAGATCTTAATCCTAATAAAGTAAAAGATATAAGCTAGTGTTAATAGACTTAGAGATAGGTATATAGAATTTATCTTTTATACTTATACCTACTTTTTAATTAAACTAGAGCTTCTCTATAATTTATTTTTAATTATAATAATATAAGATAATTAGGAGTAATTACCTACCTAATTAGGGTATAATTATACTTAATCTTATAGTTTAACACTTATAATTAATATTAATTTTAAATAGATTAAGACGATTTATGTACTAATTAGTAAGGAATCTTATGTTGCTTTTAGTAGTTATAGTGTTCTATATAGTTACTACACTATAAGAGTCCCTTATACCCTATGCGCTTTTAACATTACTATTATAACTAGAGTCCTTTATTACGCTACTATATGCTACTATACGCTTTTAATACTATATATATTAGCCTAAATTAGGTAAATTATTTTAACTAGTATATAAAGTCTAATATAAAAAGTACTTATTAACTCTTAATCTTTAATAGTTATAATAGCTATAAACTAACTAAATTTAATAATTCTTATAAAAGATAAAAGATTATTACTTTATATATATCTTTTTATTTATTATATAAGCTTTAGCCTTTTAATATAAGTTATTTTAGCTTATTAAAGCTTTTATATAGTAAAAAGGTTTAAAGAAACAATATAAATATAGATTTTATATATTATAAAGAATAACTTTTCTTTACTTTTAAAGTAGTATTTCTTACTTTAATATAAAAAAAGAATATATAAGCTAGCTTTAAATAAGCTAACCTTATACTTTTTAACCTTAAACTACTTATTTTTTACTTAGACTTTAACCTAAATATACTAATACTTACTAGCTTATATCTAATTAGCTTAAGCTTATAAGACCTAAAAACACTAGCTATAATACTAAAAGGTATATAAAGTGCTAGTTCATTAAAAAAAGATCTAAGGATACTTAAAAAAAGCTTACTAATACTAATATATAAGGTAATTAATCTTTAAGCTAAAGGTATTAGTAAGTTAGTATATAAGCTTACTTTTATTAAGGCTAAGAACCTTAGACTTTATATAAAGATAAATATACTAATTAAGTACTAAAACGCTAACAAAACCTAACTATATCTTAAAAAGTTACTTAATATAACTAAGGTAAAAGCACTATAAAAAGAAAACAAAAGGTATTAAAGCTAGAGGTAAAAGAATATCCTAAAAAGAGGCTTATATAAAAAGTAGTAAACTATATATATAATAATATAGTAATTATAAAAAGACTAAATATAATATATAAACCTATAAGATAGTTTAGGATAGTAATTAAAAAATTATAATAAGTAGTTTTAATTAATTTTATATATTATAGTTTAATTAACTTATAGAAAAAGTAAAAAAGTAAGAAAAAGTAGTCTACTTACTATAATTATTTACTTACTATATAAGTATATTATAACTATAGTAAAATCTTATAATAATAAGGAAATCTACTTATTTTTTAGTTAGGAAATCTTAGGCTAATCCTAGTAATATTATTAATATACTTATATAGTAAGTTATAGATTATAGTAAGTTATATACTTCTTTATTATACCTTAAAGGGTGGTTTTTTAACTATTTATTTAAAATTAAAAACTTAACTAAAATAGATATAACTTTCTATATAGCTTTTAATAAGACTTATAAAGTAATATTAAATCTCTAGAAAATATTATCTTTCTTATTATAAGGGAATAAACTCTAAGCCTTATTAAGTACTTTAAATAAGGGTTTTTAAGAGAACTCTAGTACTATTAGGACAATACTTTCTAGAGATTTAATATCGCTTTATAAGTCTTATTAAAAGCTATATAGAAAGTTATATCTATTTTAGTTAAGTTTTCAATTTTTAATAAATAGTTAAAAAACCACCCTTCAAGGGTCCCGCGACGTAGTTTAATTACTATGCACGATACGTTAATGAAATCACTATTTAAGTGGGCGACTTTCACGACCCATAGCTATTAGTTCTAGCTAGCTACGAGGATGATCGTCCGCTCACACTCATACGAGAAATATCCGGTCTAACTCCAGGTTGGTTATCCACAAACCTAAATAAAAGGAAAATTGTGTGAAGCATGCACCCCCCGCCATGAAGTTAGCTCCTTTTGCCTGGATTCCCTCACCATCTTTCTAGGACGGGTCACCACTATATAGCTTTTAATAAGACTTATAAAGTAATATTAAATCTCTAGAAAATATTATCTTTCTTATTATAAGGGAATAAACTCTAAGCCTTATTAAGTACTTTAAATAAGGGTTTTTAAGAGAACTCTAGTACTATTAGGACAATACTTTCTAGAGATTTAATATCGCTTTATAAGTCTTATTAAAAGCTATATAGAAAGTTATATCTATTTTAGTTAAGTTTTCAATTTTTAATAAATAGTTAAAAAACCACCCTTCAAGGTACAATAAGGAAGTGCGCGACTCACTATGCAGGTACGTTAATGAAATCACTATTAAAGTGGGGCGACTTCACCGCCCATTCCCCGGCGATTTGCCGTGGGGCAACCGTGCATTCGACGGTGAATTCACGTGTACTTTCGCCACATTCGACAGTAAATGTATATATATATATATATGCTTAAATTGAACTCGACATATCGCTGTACCAGTGATCCGCTATGGGATGTAGCTACACGATCATAAAAAAAGACATCAATATTTCAGCCGCTTTGAGGTCCGTCCAAGGGGCTGACAGTTGGGTCCCAGCAGACTGGGGCATACTCATCAGTCTCTAGGGTCTTTAAGTCCTCCTCCGACAGCTGGAAATCGTAGATCTTCGTGTTACCGAGAATACGAGAAGGGGTAACACTCTTAGGGAGGGGAATGTATCCTTTCTCCAAACTCCAGCGCAACAGGATCTGAGCCTCTGACTTGCCATATTTCTCACCCAGGGCTTTGAGGTCTTTCTCGCCCCACCTCTCGCCTCGCACGAGAGGGCTATAAGCCTCGATGGCCACGTTGCGCTTCTTCAGCCACTGAACAATGTCGTTTCTTGCGCACCAGGGGTGGATCTCGTACTGGGCAACGTTGATGGCGCCGCCCTTTCCCGGACCTCCACGCTCCTCTTCGAGCTCCTTGATATGCGTTTCAAGCTCGTCGAGGTGATGCACGCCGTAGTTGCTGACGCCGATGGAGCGGACTTTGCCAGCCTCCTGGGCTTCGACGAGGGCTTTCCAGGCACCTTTGCGGCCGGCCGAGCCACCATACGGGCAGTGCAAGAGCATCAGGTCGACATACTCAAGGCCCGTCTCGTTCAAGGTCTTCTCTACCTGGTCCTTGGCACCATCGTAGTGGATGTAGCGGACCTTGGAGGTGAAGAATACCTCGGAGCGGGGGACATCCTTAGCTTTGCGGATGGCTCCACCAGCGCCAGCCTCGTTCTTGTACGAGGCTGCCGAGTCAATCTATTGTTGGTGGTCAGAAGGGGGTTGGGAAATGCAGCACGGATGATGGGCCTCACATGACGGTAGCCGACCTTAATGGCCTCAGCGGTGACCTCCTCAGCCTGTTCAGGAGGGCTGAATTGGTATTGGTTACTGTGAAACTCATAGTGGAAGGCATCCAAATAAACTCACGTCTTCCAGAGCTATGGGATTGTCAGCAAAGTGCATGATATTCGCGCAAGAGGAGGAGTAAGGCGTACGCCATATCCCAACACGGGAATCTCGTAGCCGTTGTTGAGCTTCTGCTTGGACTGGAGCGTGAGCGAGGCCGCCATTATGTGAACGCTACGTGTTGGGGGGGTTAGTCGTAGTGTCTGGCAATGAGGGTAAAAATGAATAGTGAAAGAAGTAGACGCCGCCCTCAACTAGTCAGAACGTTGATGCAGTCGCACGGAACGTCCTTCCGAATAAGACCATTAGTCATTGGAGCGAGGAGAAACGGCACCTCGCCCATTGTGTCCTCCGATAGCTGCGCGTTCGGTGTTGCTGTGCCGAGCTGCTGTGTGCCACAGGTCACATCCTGGGGTCATGTCCTGCGAATCGCGCTGGGGTTGCCTTGCATTCTAGCCTGTGAACAGGCTTACGTCATTAAAGGAGGGGTACCCTAGGCCTTTCCATGTTGTTTTACCCCGCCATCAATGCCCCGCCATCCGACAATTCACCGATTTTGGACGCGCCGCGAGACTTTATGCAGACATTTCATCGTGATGCCATTTTTGGAATCATTCAATTCAATCATATAATCGTTTCTCCACCAGCATCGCCAGCAGTGGCCTCACCATCGTCCTCTTCGTCGTCGTCCAGGTCATGAATCGGGTATGACAAAATGGCGGCGACGCTGCCCAGCATGTCGAGCCTCTGACCGCTCTCGTGGTCGCTACTAAGGATTCTGACCTCGCCACCGTCTGCCTTGACCTTATCGACCAGCCCCACATACTTTTTCCTAGTCGGGATGTCAGAGCTGCGAAACAGCGAGTTGTTCATAATGAGGACGCCCCCGCCAGGACCGATGGCACCTTCATTGACGGCTTTGGCCACCGCCGACGCTCCATACCACGCTCGTCCGTCCTCTAACCGAAGTCTTTCGAAGAACTGGTCCATCAATTTTGTCTCCTTTGTAAACTTGAAGTCCTTCAGCTTGTTGCCCATCTCCGGGCTCTTCAAGACCTCGTTGAGACTGTGAACATGACCCGAGTTTGTGTGGATGACGATGGCCTCCTTGGCAATCCCCGAAAGCTTCTTGTCAGCCTTGTCTCTCCCCTCATCTGCAATGTACTTCTTGAAGTCGGTTGCGACAAATCCCGGACTTGCAAGCAGTAACGGTCTCGGCTTGTCGAAGTTGACGGTTCGGAGGAGAGCGGTCAGGGTTTTGTCATAAAATCGCCTCATACCCTGGGAGGTTTCAGAGGCGGTGCTCCGCTTCTTGGGGATGATGCTCTCGACGCGCTGCTTGATGACGGTGCGAAACTGGCTAATGAGGCAGATGTTGGCAATGCCCTCCTGCATGACAACCGCTGCCATGGCGCCATCCTTGTCGTCCGACAGACTCTCGGAGAGCGTCTCCTTTGCGACCGTATCCCATCCCTCTGGTTTGCTTATCGTGAAGGGGCGCGAGACCTCAAGATCGAGGGTATGGTATTGGCCCATGCTGACGTAGGCATTCTCGGATTTGACGGTGCCGCTGACCTGCAGCTGGCCGACGATGGGATCGAAGAAGGTGCTCTTGACTTGTATTGCGAGGATAGTGTGGACTCGCTCAGAGATGGTGCTGCCTGTCTTTGTCTCCTGCACGACTTTCCGCACCGCGTGCGCCATAACGAGGTCGCCAGGACTGATGAGGTTGTAGGCGTGCCACTGTCCGCGCAAAGGGTTAGCTGGGAGCTGCGGGTCGCATATGGCGGGTTCGCGCAGGTTGAAGGGGCGGGGGTGATCAAAAAAGTGACGAGGGGGACGCAAATCAGGCGACAGACTGACCATGTCCTCGGAGTCCTCTGGCAGGAGGGTGACGGCATCTTCGCCAATGTCCGTCGACGCCTTGGTTGGAACGAGCTTCATGGTTGATTGCCGACCCTATGTGTATATGTCATGGGAAGATTTTTCTTACGGTTGGCGAAAGAGGAACAAATCAAAATAAAATTGCGAAGAAGCACTCGTTGGTAGGTACCAAATAGGTACGTTATTGGAATTATCCCGACGCAGATTGGTAGATAATGCGCTAACCGCTGGGCTAGGGGGGGTGTGTGTGTGATGCTGCCACGCCTGGACTGGTCCAGCGGCTACCTGTAGGGAACCACAGCGTTGCATCTCCACTTCAGTGATGGCAGAGCGAGGGCCAAAAGAAGAAGAAAGAAGAAAACACTGCCAGTGAATGCAGGTCGCTGGCTAGGTAGCTTACCGTTATCGAAGATCGAGTACGATAACGATAAGACCTCATGTATTATTACATACGTGCCCAACATCAGGTCAGGTCGTACACTCCAATCGAGCGCAACACCAACACGTCAAAGTGCGCCCAAGGCGAGGCCTATGCGTTGCTCTTTCAAAAGTATGAGCCATCACTGGTTGACTCACTCTAATTCCCTGCCTTTTTTTTTATCCTCTTTGGCATGGTTTTCTGAAGAACCGTGTTTCTACCCTTAACGAGCTTCCGGCGAGAAATAGGCAAGGCAACTCGAACTGGCATTTTCGAAATTTACTTCGTTATACCTCAGTTATGGCCTCGGGGGAACTCACCCAGCTACTGACTGACACTGGACGAATCCCCGACGCCTCAGAAAAAGTCCGAGCTGCCGGTGTCTTTTTCTTTTGTTCCCCCTCAGCCTTTGGCTTGATCAATCCATCAAAATTACTCAGAGATTGGCTTTTGGATCTGGATCACAGACGTAGGTGCTGTCACGGCGACCAAGGTTTTCCTTTCCGCCGTCGACTCCAACCCGCCAGCCAGGTGGTGGTGTGTGCACTCTTGGCCCGGAGGTTGAGCTTTGGGCATAATCAGGCGGCACCTAGGTAGGTAGGTACATAGTCAAACGACGTCATGGCCGCGCTCAAAAGATCCCATCCATCATCGATGCTGTGTTCTGATCCTCGCCTAATCGGCTGATGCCTATCACCTTACGGCGCAACCGATAGACAGGGCGAGCAACGGTTCTTGAGTAAACCCTATACATGCATCGGATCCTTAGTTCTCATATTTCCGGTGCCAAGCTGCAAAGCCTAACCAAAGTTGGAACACGTTCGGGCAAGGAGCGCGCTCAAAATCTTGGTGGGATGAATGCATCGTCCAGTGTTTGTTAGCACCAGCAACAGCGTCCACACGGCCTGCCCTGTGTGGCCGTGTGGGAGGGCAGGTGTCGTGCCTAGAGTGTAGGGTAGGGGTAGGTATTCATTCCATCGTCCTGGGGCTTGGCCCACTGCTTCGCTAGCGCCTTCCCTTCCTGTTACATCATCAGAAGCATACCTGCTGTTTTCGGTAAACCTCTCCTCTGTTGGCGCGCTCAGTCGCCCACTTCTTGTCCGACTGAGTACTCATATGCCTGCCTTGTTTCCTGCATATGAGATAACCCCTCGCAAATGCATCACCAACGTCATTTTACTCTGCACCACATCGTTATGCCATGATCGAGCTCTGAATCAATTATTGTTTGCCTCATTTCCACTCGCCTTCCAGGTTTCCGCCTTTGATTTTCCGACGTCGTGTTGCGAGGGCACGCTTAGGTCTGGACCAGCGGATCCTTTACAGATAGATGTACTTACGCCATCTCTCTGCCCTGGGCAACTTCTCATCCCCCCCTCCCCAACAGTAGGGAAGCTGGCGGGATCATCCGCCAATCCGCAGCTTGCCTTTACTGCTTATACTAATCAATGTTCGGCTAATTCGACCCCTTCCTCTGGGTCATTTTGGTCCTACTTGGTGCCAGTTCTAGAGATTGAAAGGGTATGTAAGAGGTGTTGCCTGGCGCGTAATTACTCCGTGTCCTGTACCCATTCCCAACCACCAAAAAAACATCGCGCACCCCGCGGCGAGCCAGCGGCACTTGGGTAAACGCCATCATCCCACCCGGGGCGATACGCGCGCCGCGGCCCAGGGAGTCTGCCCATTCTTGCTTCCATTTTTCACATCGCAGACGACGGGAATAGAAACACGCGCCCAAATCAGGCTATCCCTTCCGCGGCGACCGCAATACCCGCCACCAGCTAAACTAACCCCGGGCTTTCTGCTGGACTGTCGGGATTTTCCCACCCACCGCTGCCTCGGCCTCAATCCCATTTATGAGTTCCGGATCTTTCGGGTCTAGTGTATTACCACATCTTGAGCTGCCAACCCAACCGTCGTCAGCCAACACATCTTGAATCTGGCCCCAGCAACCTTTCAGCCTATCCGCGCTGACTTGGCGCGCGCACGCATACAAACTAGGAAGCATAGTCTTAGCACTTCTGTTGACTGCTTCTTCTCCTCTGTCGGCACTCGCATAATGGAAAATGTCGACCACTACATCCACAATGAAGTCCATGGATGCTGGCCGTCGCAATGATGATCAGGAGCCAAGCCCACCACCGCCTCCCGTATCCGTCTTCGAGCCTCGACTTTCAACCCCCATTAGCCGCGAAGGTTCCTCGACCGCTCAGAAATCGCCGCGCGGGTCAGACCCTCATGGTACGTAAGCACGTGCGGAGAAGCTCCCCTCCCTTTCTTCCTTTGCTTGCTTGCTGTGTTCTGGGACCCATTGGGACTACCTCATGTCTTCCGAGTTACGTCTGGAGAAGCCAATAGATTCTGAGTGGCGCAGACACAGCAGATGCTCATTATAATATGGTATAGGTAGCAGCTTTCCTACATTTGCCAAGAAGACGCCCACGAAGCTCGTCCGATCTACAAGCCCGAACGCAAAAGACGTCAAGCCTGCCAAGGCTTCGCCTGCCACCGTCCAATCCCCCGCCGCAATCGATCCGCTATCACAGGTCCGTTGTTTGTCGTTGGCATTGGCAGAGAGGTTGCATTTCAGATGCTAACCTTCCGCAGCACATCCTGATTCGAACAAACACCGATCACACTGTCCCTCTTCAGCTTCGGAGACGTCCGGAAAGCCCAAACCCCGACCCAGAACAGCCTTCCAAGCTGCCGCCCTACACCTTTGATGCCAGCAAAGACAAAAAGTATGTTACACACCCGACAGCCTTGATCCTATGGGCTCGACTAACTCTACCGAAGAAAAGGGCCGTCATTTCTGAGTCGATTGAACATACGTGGAGGGAGGCGACGCGATGATGATGATGAGGACTCTGTCTTCAGCGACCACCGAATCGACGGGACGAACGCCCAGGCACTTTCCTCAGCCATTGGCTCAGGATACATCCCTCACCACAAGGAGCCGCCAAGATACATCCGGGTCAAGGCACATAACAAGAAGACACGCGAATTCAACCGCATGTTTCTTTCCCAGGAGCTGATGATTCCGGAATCCGAACCAACTAGCGACAAGAACACGGCCGTGACAGCGTCGATTGACACTGGGCGATCGAATAACAGCGGAGCCATCTGGGCTACCGAATTCAGCACTGATGGCAAGTACTTTGCTGCCGCGGGCAAAGATCAAGTCGTGAGGGTCTGGGCAGTGATATCAACTCACGAGGAACGACGGCGGCATGAAGAGGAAGAAAATGCTAGAGGAGATCATGGAGAAAGGTTAAGTGCGCCTGTCTTTCGGAGTAAGCCAGTCCACGAGTTCCAAGGGCACACTGGCGAAGTACTTGACCTCAGCTGGAGCAAAAACAACTTTTTGTTGTCCTCTTCGATGGATAAGACTGTCCGTCTCTGGCACATGAGCAGGAAGGAGTGTCTTTGCACGTTCAAGCACAAGGACTTTGTCACCTCAATTGCATTCCATCCCACCGACGACAGATTCTTCTTGGCGGGATCTCTAGACTCGTCTCTACGTCTATGGAGCATTCCCGACAAGGCGGTGGCCTATTCCACTCAGTTGTCGGACCTGATCACGGCAGTGGCCTTTTCGCCTGATGGAAAGACGGCCATTGCTGGGGGTCTCTCAGGAATGTGCATGTTCCACGACACCGAGGGTCTTAAGCAGACTACCCAGCTGCATGTTCGTTCGTCAAGGGGCAAGAATGCCAAGGGAAGCAAAATCACGGGAATCAAGACAATGGCCATTGATGACGAGGTCAAGGTTTTGATCACGTCCAATGATTCGAGAGTCCGCATCTACAACCTGCGCGACAAAAGTCTAGAGTGTAAGTTCAAGGGCTACGAGAATACCTGCAGTCAGATCCATGCCGGTTTTAGCGACAATGGACAATGGATTGTCTCTGGGAGCGAAGATAAGAGAACGTATATCTGGTCGGTGCATTCCGGGGACTCGGAGAGGGACAAATCATGCGAGTATTTCGATGCGCATTCCGATCGAGTAACAACAGCAGTTTTTGCACCGACACAGTCACGGCAGCTCCTTGGCGGCTCGGGGGATCCTCTGTACGACCTCTGTAACCCACCGCCAGTGACTCTCATGAGCCTTCAAGAATCAATTGCCAGTCAAAAGGGCATTTCAGATGACGAGAAACCGCATATCAAGAGACCGGAGGAATCGCCAGCATACATTGAGAAGTCTAACCATTTTGACGGCCAAATTCTTGTGACCACGGATCAATCCGGTGTTATCAAGGTTTTCCGTCAAGATTGCGCATACATTAAACGGCGTCATGAGAGCTGGGAAACCGGCTCAACATTCTCTCGTCGGCTTGGAGGTAGCATCATAGGACGTAGTGGAAGTGTAGCGACGCGCACTAGTGTCGGCAGTCATCCTCGGTCTCGTCGCGGGTCAATGTCACGCCTGGCCGCCGCCCCTGGCGCTGCTCAGTTGAGCTCGGACATCAATACTTGGCGACATGGGATCGAGAACGGGCGCCCGAACTCCATGATCATCACTCCTTCGCAGAGCGAGTACTCCTTGTCACCTGGCAAACCTACGCAAACGCCTGTCAACGCAAGTGCTGGGAACATTGCATCTGGGGCACGAAGACAACCATACGGGTCACCACAGACACGTCCGCAACTTCCGGCGAGTCCCACGTCGAGCCGGGCCTCCCGTGACCGGGCTCCTTCCATCCCACCCACTCCAAGTTTTTCGTTTCTCTCCGCAGACGACGACAGCGACGAGCTGCAACGCGACACCACAGGGCCCAATCATTCTTTCTGGAATCTTAACCGTTGGAAAGGGATCTCATCACTGAGGTCATCCGTATCATTCAGCAATGCCAACACATCACTCTCACAAGTGGGACAGGGGCGAAACAGCATGGGTGCAGCAGACACGACACACACAGCCGCCAGCAACGGCACCAAGGCTTCTCGACGAAAGAGCATTGGCCCGGGCATATACGACAAGGCGGTCGAGGAAGAGCAGGATGGTAAGACGAAGGTGCTGGAAAATGCGACTGATAAAGCCGAGAACGATGGCCAGCTTCTGCGGCCTGTCGGTAATGGTTCAAACATTCGATTCTTGAATGCTGTTGTCAGTCGCCTGAGCTCTGAACTCAGTAGTGATGGCGGGGAACAACTACCTTGTCAAAAGTGCGCGAATAAGGACTTCAAGGCGAAGAGAGTGGGCGGCAGACAACGCCTCATTTGCGTACATTGTGGCAAGCTTGCTGACGACGGCAAGCAATGACGAGTTAAAGGTATGAGAAAAGACTACTTCTTTCGGAGACGGGCTTTTGTCTGCTTTATTTCCGCAGCGATGGATTTGAAATTGGGCACAACAAGACGAAGCGCATCTATCACAAGCAAGGATACCATATACCCCCAGATAGTAGTAACATGTGAAGAGATTATGACGACAGCAGTTATTCATATATACACATGGCCGCCTTGCCTACCGTTTATTCCGATATTAAAGCCAACTTTGCAAAGCGTGAGCGACCAGCTAGGCAATTATACACGAGCGGAAAACAATGCTCTAGATAAACAGAAATAAAATTCAACATTGGTATCTTGGAAAGTGCATTAACGAAACTCCTTCACTTTTGGTGCTAACAGATTGTTCTTCGGTCACATTGGGTGCGGACGATGAGAGGACGAGAGATGGAAGGAAACATCAGCCCCGCAAGGACATTTTCCAGTCAGACCTTGCGCCGGTGTTGCCGCCGAGAGTGTAGCCGCCAGAGACAGTGGAACCGTCATCAGGCTTGTTTCCCTTGTTGGCGGCAGCTTCCTTCTTCTTCCTCTCGGCTTCGGCCTTCTTCGCGGCAGCCTCGGCAGCCTGCTTCCTGGCGAGCCCGCTCAGCTCCTGGACGGTGGCCTGCAGGGTCCTCGGGTCGGCGCCGCGCACAACGCTCCGACCACCGTTGTAGGGCTGGCCGTTCTCAAAGAACATGAAGGTCGGCATGGCTGTGACGCTGTAGCGGCGGGCGATGTCCTGGGCGGCGTCGACGTTGACCTTGACGAGGGCGAGGGAGCCCGGCTGACCGTGGGTGTTGGAGAGTGACTCGTAGATGGGCTTGATTGCGTGGCACGGCCCGCACCAGTCTGCGTAGAAGTCGACAATGACATAGGTGTTTGCTGATAGCAGGTTGGTGAATTCTGCGAGAGATGTTGCTTGGAGGACGACCATTTTGGTGGTGAGTTTGGGGTGGGCGGGTGCTGCAGCGTCGAACAAACAGGCGGTGTCTTGCCCTCCGATATTGCGTCTAAGTGGGTGGGTTTCCTGGTGCTTTTTGAATGAAAATTCTGTATATATTCTGATTTCGCTTGGGACTTTCTCTTTTTATCTGCGTTAATGGTATGATTAATGGGATGAGTGATGCCTTGGTGGGATTTCAACTTGAATTTGTCAGACGAGAGTGAGGGCATTCAGCAAAGCGATCTCGTCAGCTTCATACTTATTACCCAGCGGCAAAAGGCGGGGCCACCCCCTCCGGAGGAACCTTCCAGGTACCCCTATCTGCCTCTGCAGCTTTTTGTAAGGTACCTAAGATAGAGCGCTACGGCCCCTGGACCCACTGGTCATACTCGCCTGTTGGCGCCTTGAGTCTCCAGGGGAATGATTCTAGTTCCCCATCGATTTGTCACCCTTTTACGTCCATTGTTGTCCCCGAAGTTGCCCGCTGTGTTGCATTGCCTCTTCGCGTCTCACAGGACATCTACTTGGAATGGTTCCCTAAACCACGGCTGGCTCCATGCGCTCCAGATCGCTAATGCAACTTTGAGATGCGGGTCGCTGAAATGGCTTCTGCATGCTGCCCGAGTCACTAGATCTGTAGTGACGACTCAAGTCCCCGTAGATTGCTCCAAGTACGGCACCCGGTCAGGTTCGGTTGCTTGATGGCCGTTCTCTCGTTCGCTATTTACTGCTCTATATCAGATTAAGTCAGTATTTACATCCGCTGTTATCACCAGACGCTCACATATCATCTTATTATCGCCGATGTTATGCCAAGAGGGGGGAACATCATTCCGTTTCTTATCCTAGTCTGGTCACCCAATGACGATAGCTTCATCATACCCTGTTGGCTCGGGCTTTATGGTCTACAGCTCGACCATCGCTCTCTTTTCTCGCGGTTGTAGGGCATTTCCCGCACTAGTCTTGTTATAGCCCCCAAATCACAGTGCCGCGTAGAGCTGTTCGGTCCGGGTCTCTCCCTGAGGGCGGCCAGTACGATCCTTGGTTACCCATCTGGGCCATGGCTGGCTGGCTTCAAACAGAATAGACACGAGATACTGTTCATCTGTGGCTCACTCCCCGATGTTTCTCTGCCCATGTCGGCTTGGCCGAAAACATGTCCAGGATCTTCGGGACCATCCACTCACAATCCCGCATCCATCCTTTATCGCTGCGTCAGATGACCCCTCTAAGTGTCGCGCAGAGTCGCAAACCCCAATCCTCAAAGCGCCCGCCGCCCCTACTTTCAACTCTCCGTGGCTTTCACCACCCCTCCAAGTTGGTTCTTCACACCTCTTCCACCCTCGCCGGCGGCTATCAAGCGCGGAGCCTCCCAAGGGCATCCATGCCTACTCCAGGGATACCGGGGATTTCTTTCGTGCGGTGACGCCCGACTTCCGTCTAGCTTTGCGCTGACCCTACAGGTACTACTAGTCCTGCCAAGTAGAACGTCTTCTAGAATTTCAGGCTGCCTCAATGAATTGAAAGCGCTTCGTGTGCCGACGGTCCAAGCTCATTCGACGGGAAGTGGGACAGGTCTTTCAACCTCGCCAGCTCCAACCATCGACGGACAGGGGCAAGGTTGAGCCTCAGGGATAGACACCCTGCCTGTCATGACCGCCCTTATCAACAGTCGGCCATTCTTTCAAGAGATCAAGCGCTGACAGTGAGCGTGTCGCCGTGTCTCTTGGGTAGTTCCAATATTATCGCCCTGTGGATGGCTGAAGTCGGTCTGGTTTTCGGCACGACGCAACGTTCTGACGTCTTGGGCCTCGGGGGTTTTCTGTCTCATGCCCTCAAAGGATTCATTTCTAGGTCAATCTTGACCATGTGGGCCGTCGGAAGGGTCCAAATCTGGCAGACCAATCCCGCATCAACCTCCAGACGCCTCCTAGTGGTTCATGGAGGGATGAGTATGGTCCAGGATGATTCGGATGGAAATGAATGATATGGCCGTCATCCAGGATGGTCCCATATAAAAGGCTTCATCTTTGCTCCGTACATCGAGTTGGTGTCCATAGTGAACTCGCATTCCTCATTTACCATTCTCACCTGCTGGATCCTTTTTCGCCCTCAATCTTTCATGATTATTTCTTGAGATGGCTGGCTATCCGTCCTTCAACTTTGGCTTTGAGCTTGAGCTGTCTCTCAATAGCAGCAAGAGACACAAGACATGGCTCTCCATGGCCCAGGACACCGGTGCGCGACTGGCCAAGAAGGAAATCAACAACCATGTTAAGGAGGTGGTGGACGGGAACTACCGCAAGTGGTCCATTGTCCAGGAAATTACGATTCCTCAGAATCCGGCCAAGAACAATTGTTAGTACGCAGGATCGGGCGAGGAAGTGGTATTAGAATGTTGACAACATCAACTCAGGGGCACTTGAGCTAGTATCTCCTGTCTTCGGGCTGGATTCTCCTTGGATGGACGACACCGACCACATATTCTCTGCTATCCAAAAGCACTCATCTGTACAAAGAGTTCCCCAGTGCAGCACCCATGTCCACATCAGCCAGGCCGGTCAAGACTTCACCCCATCGCAACTGGAGTGCTTGGCCAAGGCAATCCTTGTGTATGAGTCTTGCTTCGATGCCCTCGTGCCCAAGGACAGGGCATCCGCATACTGGTGCCAAAGCAACCGTCGCAATCCTGTTTTATCTCGCTGCAAGACCCTCGAAGACTGCCTTGGCCTTCTTGAAATGGCGTCGCAGAAAGGAACTGCCGCCATCGTCGAGGCCATGTGCTTGTTCCCAGCCTCAAGCGCCTACGGACGTGCTCATGGGCAGAAGAAGGACTTTGTACACGGCAAGGTCTACAAGTGGAACTTTGCTCCTCTGCTGGGGTACGACAACTGTCGGACTATTGAGTTTCGACAGCCTCCCGGCAGTACATGTATGGAAGATGCCGTTGGCTGGGTCTTGCTGACGCTGACGTTCGTTGCGGGAGCGACTGGGGGCGGGAACTGCCTCGGGTCGTTAGAGCCTGGCGGCGCCGGCGACAGACTGGAGCTTTGGCATCTTCTATGTCACGGTGCAGTGGTCCTCGGACTTGAACCTTTCTTGCTCGATGTTTTGAGGAACTTTTTGGGCAAAAGTCCAGTCTAACAGGCTTACTTCTCCTTGCCTCGGCAGTCAACATGCAGAATTGCCTCATCTCTTCTGTTTCTTAAACGCGCAACTTTTTGTGTTTCTTACCCGTACACTTTCCATGCTGTCTGGTTCCGTTAATTGATACTCCTTCGGAGAGGCTGATTCCATTCCAATTCAGGTGATCCAAAACCTGCTGCATATATTGCCACTGGCTTCTTCATTTGGTGGCTAGATCCGGCCCGGAGGTTTGATCTCCGCAAAATCCCACTTCGTACCGACATCCGGACGCGCTCCGCACAACCGACACCACCCCTTTTAGGATCGGGACCAATTCTGATCGTAGCCTCCAGGTAGACCGCCACCCTCTAATACTCAATTAATATAGTCGGAACTCAATCTATCGTCACAGATGAACGAGTGTGTTCACACCCCTTGGGCCATGGCCAATTCGGAGGCTTCTCATTGCAGGGGCCAAACTTCAGTACCATAGCGGAACAGGTCACCTCCGCCTCGCCAGCTCAGCTAACGGGGCTATCGACAGCGAGCGCAACGTCAATTTACGCCTTCTCGGTAAGGTTTGAGTATATAACTGCCTGAACTTGGCATCGGATCTGTTTGGCTACTAAGTCTTATATGTCTAGGAATCGTTGCCAAACAAAATATCCTCCCACCCAATCAAGATGGGTTTACTGAGTATTCTGGCCGCTAGCCTTTCAACGACACTGCTCACCAGTTTCGTTTTGGCACAGAGCACGATTCCGGCCTGGGGACAATGTAAGTCCTCCGTGGCGGCATGCTTGGCTTGAAGCTCTTTGAAACCTGACACGACCGTAGGCGGCGGTAATGGTTGGAGCGGCGCCACGACTTGCGTGAGCGGCTACACCTGCTCAATCCTCAAGTACCACAAGCCAAAACAGCTTGGTCTCGAAACATCCACTAACTTTATGAAAGTCCATTCTATCATCAGTGCATCCCGGGGTCCAGCACCCCTACGATCACTTCCGCCGGGCCCGTCTCTACTTCAACCACGCCCGTCATAACACCTACCGACACCCGCACGACCACCCGCGCTTCAACGACTCTCACCACCGTAACCACCACAGCAGCAGGTGGCGGTGGCACCGTGCCCACAACTCTGGTCTCAGGGTGGTACTGGATTCGTGCCGTCGCCTCGCCCAACTTCCACAGCTATCTCCAGGCCAAGCCCACCCTCACGCCCAGCAAAGCCTACCTCGAGGCCCCCAGCAGTGCGGGCCAGTTCAAGATAGATGCCGGTCAACTGGTTCATCTGACAGGGCCATCCTCCCTGTACCTCAACGTCGAGAACCCAACAGACAAGACGCAGCGGAAGCTTGAGACGTGGTTCAGCACGAGCAAAAATACATACGGTACGTTCGCCTTTCAGGGCGATACTCTCACGTGGAGCACGCCAGACATCAACCGCCCGAATCTTGCTGCGTGGCTTGTCTGTGAGAACCAGCAGGTTTTCATCAACACGGGGGCATATTTATACCAGACGCCTGCCGGGTGTTTTGACCAGACTGTGAGTAAAAGTTCCTACAGTTTCTTCCGTACGTGGCACTAACCACACATAGATACACTCGTACGGGGGGTCTACGGCGGACCTCTGAATCTATTGCTCTCTTATCGTGTTCTGGCTTCGAAGCCCCTGCTTTTCGATACTGTCGTAGCTTGGTATTAACCAGATTTTATCAACTCTATGTTCCAGACCCCGACGCTTTCAATCCTTCATACGTGATTTCCCTCCATATCTCTCTTCTTCCCTGGCTGGGTTGGGCTCATCGTAGTATCCAGAGTAAAGTTGCGTGGACCGACGTATTCCTGCAACTTGCTACCATCCTGTATCGTCCACTCTTTGAACCATGACTGGTACATATGCACACCGCCATACAGGTGAGCGTGGCTTGTGAACTCCCACCAGACGTTGAAATGCATCATACCAGTTCCCATTGGATCGATGCTCCATTTAATGGCCCTGTTGACAGCTTCAGCGTTTCTGCAGTCCGTCTTCTCAATTGTAGGCACTTTCGGCCCGGTGTTGGTAGCGATGGAACACTCGGTAAAGGCTGCCCCGCCGGTGATCTGGACATCAAACCTGACACTAAAAGGACGGGTGTTAGAGTTATTGCAAGTTGACAGTTGTGCTTTGGTCCTTACTAGTTCCACTGTGAGTTCGGTTGGCCTCCAGCATAAAGATTCTCGATCTTGAAGACTGCCGCAGTGCGCTCAACATTTTCAGGGCGTTGCGAGACTCCTCCAACGCTAGACTTCATGGCGTCGTTGGGGAATGCATACGGTGCACCAAGAACCGTAGAGCAGAAAACTGCAAGGCTATTGAGAAGTTGCATACTGTATACTCTAGCGTTCAACGTTGCTAGTATGGATAGGCACTCAATTGAGTTCTGGGTTCCAGATGTGTACCAGATGGACGAACACCGATATTTATCCCTCCCTCGGCTCATGGCTGGTATGCCCCTTACTGCCCGTCATACACAAAATTGTCTGATAGCGATGCCAATATCGTCAAATAATTACACGAAAATTTCGACCGCCTTGAGATATCACCGATGAAATGCCATGGGTGTTCCCGCTATGACCCCGTGGACAACTTTTGGTCCTCCTGACCGGCCAAGCAAACTGACCGAAACTCCTGCAAAAGGACATTTGAGTGACCAGCGGGTAAGACCTGAGAGCACAAACATGGCTATATAAGCCCGCTATACGAGGCAACTACCGCCCTTGATGTAACAAAGCAAGGACACAGGCGTCCTGCCAATCGGCTTCTCCTAGTGAGCTGAACAGACACAGAAATCTTCACGTCCACGTGTGGTCAGTTGACGCAATGCGAGTGGTTTTCGAGAAGCAGTACGCACAAGCATCCGACATCCATTAGCAAACAAATTTGGTATCCCATTAACTTTTGACTAACCCTTGTCTAAACGCTGATCGTACGGAAGATACTAAACTCGTCACCCGTGGCCACCAAGCTGCCAGTAATCTGAGGGTGCCAATGCAGCTCCTTAACGTTGGACAGGTAGTGGACAAACAGCAGCTGAGGCGGCACGTCCTTGACGCCGCCGGTATCCTTGCTCTCCTCGTCGTCGAGCTCGACCGCCAAGTCCCATAGGGTGACGGTGCTGTCGCCCGCCGCGACGGCGATGATGCTGTCGTCTGTGGGATGCCACTCAATGCTCGTGACCTGCTCCTTGTGGTAGTTGAAGCTGGCAATAGGAGAGGGCTTGTCCGAAGCCGAGGTCGAACTTTGCTTCCACTGGCGCAGGTCCCAGACAGCAAACTCGCCGTCGTCCGCGCCCGAGGCGAGCAGATGTGTTGTAAGATGTGACCATGACATGACGTTGACATCGGTCGAGCTGACCTGCATAGATAAAGCAGGTTTTCTGCTCTTGCTGCGAATGTCCCACACGCGAATTGTGCCGTCGCTCGAGGCGGATGAGAAGACCGACTGCTCAGAAGGGCTCCAGATGATCTCCTCGACACTGCTGGTGTGGCCCTGGAATGGCCGGGTATCGGTAACGAAACCGCCGCCGTCAGTACGCGTTGTGAGATAGATGAGGCCGTCGTTATCGCCGGTCAGGAGCTTCCCGCCGGGAACAAGAGGGGACCAGTCGAGGGCGTAACCTTCCGCCTTGTGGGCGCGGATGGTCGATACCGGCTTGTTTTGCTGGGCAGAAATGACGGTGCCGGGGTTGTCGAAAGAGTAGAGGTGGAGGGTGATGTCGTGAATGAAGACGTTGGAGGACTCGGTCATAGTCGCAGTAAGGGTAGTCGGGGGTCTGGAGGCGTCCTGGGATGGGATCTGGTGGGCGCGGACTCGGTTCGTGGTCGAGTTTAAGGGAATGGCCTTGTGCTCCAGGATGGGGTCGGCATCCTCGTCATCGTCATCCTCCTCGTCAGATTCCTCTTCGCCCTTCTCCGTGCGGCTCAGACCGCTAAACTTCATGACCATCAGCTGGTTGTCGCCAGCCCTGGCGCTCTCTGCCTGTGTGCCGGCCACTGTGTACATGGTGGCAGGGTAGACCTTGCGGTTGTCACCAAGACCGTCGCGGAGTATATCAAACGACAAGCAAGGCCACGGGGTGCTTATGTTGTGCAGCATCTCATATGTCGACACATCTGGCGCAAGTGTCTGTCCGGCCTCGAGCTTGTTTCGTCCGACGATGAAGGTGCCCTGGTCAACCACGGCTAAGCACGTCAGCTTTGTGCGTAACTGGAGTGAAAGGTCTCATTTTACATACCTTCCTTCTCCTCGGCCTCTCTTTCTGCGTCGGGCCGTCCGTCTACACCAGCTTCCATGATCTCGTCCTCCTCGAACTCATCCTCGAATTCGTCTTCAAAATCACCCATGCCAGGGTCCTTCTCGTCAATCTCCATACCTTCCGGGCGATCACCGCCCTTCAGGGGAGCGTCGCCCATTTCAACATCAGCAGATCGTTTCGACATGATCTCGGTGTTGTTCCGTCGCAAATATGTACAAAAACAAGGAGCTGCCCAAATTTTGCTGCAGCCTGCGAAAACGGCGGTGCTGCAGGAAAGGAGAAAAAAAATCAAGGCCCCGCGATTTGTGGCTGGTTTGGTACCCCGCGTGGCAGGCACTCCACCTCAGTGATCGGCATCAAGGGTTGAATGTGGCTGAAGTTCAGGGTCATGTGATTTCGTATCTGCGTCGCGTCGTCTTTCAGTCAGTGTTGATTGCCCCGCCACGCCTGGCAACAACTGGACTGCTGACACCTCCTGTGCCGTCTGACTGTCGCTCTCTTCAGTGGCAACCTGCGCCGACGCTTTTGGTATTGAAAATGTCTCCGAGAGGAGTACCGTCATCATGGCGCCGCAGCAGAACACTTTTGCCGTCATCCCAGCCGCCCCTGGCCGTGTTGGCGGCGCCCCCAGCAAACCACCGATGACCTCGAAGCAGGCCCAGAAGCTCTATAAGCAAGCGAATAAGGAGCCACGACGATCCAAAGCTGAACAGCGGCGATGGGAAAAAGAAAGACAGGAGGATATCCGCAAAGAGCTGGAAAAGGAGCGCGCTGCAGCTAAAGCCAGGGCGGCACGAGAGCGAAAGAAGGCCAAGGAAGAGGAAGCACGCAAGAGCCGACGGAGGGCTGGACAGCCATTGTTCGACTGCCGACCGAGCCAAGATACAATCGCTCGATTTGTTCGAGGAAATGGCACAAGCCGGAAGAGAGACTCGTCAGGGGAACCGGTACCGAAGGACGAAGACACCCCGGCAAGTTCACTTGAGAATAAGCCTAAACTCTCGCTGGCACCGTCGGCTGCGAGAGCCGCTTCATCTGTGTCGTGTCCTCCCCCTACGCCTCCCGAACGACCCAAACCTCTTGCTATCTCCATGGCACCACCGCCTGGCGCGTCGCAGAAGTCTAGGACGGTCAACAAGCCACCGCAATCCTTGCCCAACCCGCCGAACCAACCTCCATCCTGGGACATTCCTCCACCGCCCATGCAACATTCCAAAGACGGTCCTGCTGTGCTACCCTCTAGCTTACTCAAAGTTGTCGACTCTTCGAATCATGTACCGGACAAAACCTTGGCAGTTCCGGTGTCCATGGACCCTCCCCTCCGGCCGCCGTTGAAGTCAAAGTCCAAACCGTTCATGATGCCCCGGGTAAGCCTACCAGTTCAGCAACCATCTGGACGCGAGGTTTTCAAACCCAATCCTACTTCCAAGTCTACTCCTATTTCGCCGCTATCGGGGCCGCTGCTGCAACATAAGTTGTCTTTACCCGACCCAGCATCGCAAGGAGAACCGCCGCAAATGCCTACACCCCAGGTACCATCACAGAAACCACCGCCACAGTCTACAGTTCCAACGCCTTTACTCAAGTCTCTTTCAAAGGATTCAACCTCACAGAAGCTGTCGGTGCAAACACCTCCGCTGTCAAGGCCGCAGCCTCAAGCGCCCCCGCCAAGTACACAAGCCATTGTACAAGATTGCTTTGACGACTTCTTTCCAACAGCTTCACAGCTTGCTATGGAGCTTGAGCAAGATAGTGATTCAGATACTCAGCCTGGGGAGGTTTTAGACCAGCAGTCAAATGATCCGCTGGCAGCCAAAGTGGGTCATGGTGAGCTTGTGGTACGTTCAAGCGGGATGGAGATCGCTGGGGAACAAATCCAAGCTGCAGACAATGGCTATCGAAAGCCAGATAAAAGCACCTTTGGTAGCCCGACCGCTCGTTATCTTCCATCTTTGGGTGCTAGTGCTACATGTCCAAAGTCTTCTGCGCTATTAAGAGGCTCCACAAGATTCCAAGCGTCAACAAAAGCCCATGAGGAGCCCCCGGGGCTCGAGCACAGGGCTCAGAAACAAGAGAGGCAATCACAAGTCAGCACTTCTTCGAGGGCTTTGGATGCCCATTCAATCAATACCCACTCAAAAAACGCTGCAACAGGAACAATGCCACCACCAACAAAGCCCTCTCGCCTCCAAGACCGGTCGGCAAAAGCAAAGCGCGGTGTTTTGCGGGAAATCAGTGGCAATCACAACCCAGCACCGAACCCTGTGGGCACAGCAATGAAACCACAGCTACCCACTCACTTTGACGACTTCTTCCCATTGATATGCACCCAGGACTTGATGATGTCGTCCCAAGAGGTGTTGGACATAGAATCCACGACGAAGAACACGACGCAGTCGTTCTCTAGTCAATCGCCTTTCCTCGAGATGGACCTGGCGGCTATTGACTGGGATGATGACTTGGATGACTTTTGACGTATTAGAGGGAAATGGCATTGCGGGGGGTGATTGCGTTGCGTTTCCGAGCGGAGGAATGTGCTTGGCAGGAACGCAATTACGGAGTAGAGTCCGTCGGCATCGAGGAATGGTTTTTTTTTTTTTTGAATTGACACTTATACCCTTTAGACCACCATATCATTGCGGAGGAAGCCCCTTGAGAGTCAAGAAGACTAATAGAAGAGTTCATACACATGAAGGATACAATAATTATGATATGAGCAACTGATCATGTGTTCAGCAAGAGGAATCCCTATACAAGGGGCTCAGCAGCAACTCTGCGGCCCAGAGCCTATGTGATGTTATCGCGCCTCGAGACATGGACACCCCGAGTCAATACAGAGAACAATGGATGTAGAGGTGATGTCTCGCTGTCTCCCGCTGAGTCTCGCTGGCCCTTGTCGCAGGGTTTCATGCAGTGTAAATCAAAATCAATCCTATATCGTGACCGTGGGAATCTCTGATCATACGATACCTTCCCACCCCCAAACGCCAAGCCAATGCTTCACACTTATCCGGGTGACGCCAGTATCCTTTCGTAGCTCCTCAAAGGTAGATCCCGACCCAGCCCGTCTTGTTCGTAGCTTGCGTCTCGCAGCCGTCGACCGCGCAAATTATCTTGCTTTCTTGGTCGCGTCGGAACCCAGTGTGGGGACGTTTGGCTGCCGGCTTGCGGTTCTCGAAACAGTCCTCACAGTAAACCTGGTTCGGCGTAAGCACTAAGCCCGCATTGTTATCTGGAGAGGCAAAACTTACATGCCCACATCCCTTGAGAGCCCAGAAGTGATGCTCGCTACGCTGGCGCTTACCTCTGCGCGTGGGATGACTCTCACTAGGGGGAACATCAGGGTCGTAAGCCAGCTCCTCGTTGCAAGCCGGACATATAACAACGAGGTCAGAGCCAGTGTCTCGAGTGAAGCCCGACTTGGCTGGTGGCGGAGGTTGGTGGATCGGCTTCGGTGACTCGGCTCGGTCGAAGGCGCCGTGCCCGTATTGAAGCTGAATGTTTTCCAGCGGGTTATTGAGGTCGGCACCTTGGTTAATTCTGTTATGCAAAATGCCAAGGATTTGCACTTCATCCTCAGGGCCAGGGAAAAGCCGAAAGGGATAGAGATGACGCCGTATGTTCGCTGCTATTCCACTAAATGCAGCGGTCGAGTTGTACAGACCAAACCCTCCGGTTTGTCTGCTACGCTCACGATGTCGAGGGCCTGGAGGAGGTAACACGGGTGCATGCCTGCGCGGAACATCGGGGGAGTCGTCGGTGAGGTCAATGACTGGTGCGTTGCCAGCGAGAATACTACTGTCGCTGCGAACGAAAGACGGAGGATTCCTGCCCTGAGAGCTCTGTCTTCTCGGATTTGCCACAGGGCGAGCGGCATGAGTTTGAACAGGACTGTCGGGTTCGTTTGTAAGATCAATGACATCCGCGGAGCCGTTTTGATTGTTTTGGGATCTTCTTTCGGGACGTCCCTGTCCTTGCTGAAAATACAGCTCCAAATCCACCAGAACATCCGCTGGACTGTGGCGATTTGCTGTGCCACCTTGACGTAGTTCGGCCATAGTCCCCTCGCGATTCTCCGCGCGTGGGAGTCGTTGCTCGCGTAAGTGTGGCAACTGGTCCATCTCGGCGAGAAGCGCAAGCTCAAGTTCGTCGGCGAGATCGGAGGAAAACGGGTCGTCAAATAAGGGTTCGTGTGCGGCGATATCGTCTGACATGAACGACTCCAAATCGGAATCTGAATGATGTGATGGTGACTGCGAGGCAGAGTCGGGGTCCCAATCCTGTTGAGCGTCTGCTTCGGAGTCGAATATACTTGAGCGATGGTCAAGGACGTCGGAAGAATAGTCGGGACCTTGGTAAACCGGGTAGTAGGTAACCTCGTTGCTGATTTCGCCCCAAACGTCTGAATTAATCGAAGGGGTAGATGCGTTTGAACCGACGTCCAGAAGCTGTGGGAGCGGGGGCGACGGGGAGGGAGACGCTGAGGAAGACGTTCGGAACGGAGATGTAGGTTCGTTTGAAGAGCTGCTGATGCGTCTGAGGTGCGAACTTGGAGGAATCGTAAAACTCGCTATCGACGGAGAAGAAGGTATCGAAGAGGACTCTCGATTCGGGGGCGTGGGTGAGTTTGAAGAGCTGACGGGTATTGAGTAAGAAGACTGAATGGATGGGGAACTCGATATCAACGGGGATGATGGTGGAGACGCTGAGCTCATGTTCTGTGGATGGGGCCAATACGGGTTGGCGCTGGAAAGAAAGGAGGAGAGTCAGCTCAACCCGAGGATGCGAGGCAGAAGGGGGCGAGGTTTCCACGAACAAACCGTCCGTCACTCGAGCGTCTTGTGTTCGTCAGGGAGGGCCGAGATCTTAACCCCGAGCAGTGTTGAGATATCAACAGGATAGGCAGGAGTGGATCTCCTACGACGGACGCGAAGGTGAAGCGACCATCCCGCGGTTGCGCTGGTCGCTATATCAGGTCAAAGGAAGCAACAGGTTTAGTAGCCGACAGGAAAGAGCGGTTTCCTCGGACTTGACCCGTGAGGTAGCGGCAGTAGTAGTAGTAGTAGTAGCAGTGTAGGAAGTGCCGGGTGCTGGTGGCGGTTGAGGGTAGGGTGAAGCACAGGCCCAGGCCACGGCAGGACCGATTGTTTGGGCGCTTCAGCCTTAGATAAGCCGGCACAGTGCAGGGGGCAATTACTCCGATAAGCAGGAACCCCCTCTGGACTTACAGAACCCGCGAAAGTTTTGCCGCCGAGTGAAGCAACCGTGCTGCGCCCACGGTATAAAGTAGACATTCCGTCTACAGTGCTTGTGTCATAGTCGCAAAAAAGAAAAGCGACACAAAACGTCGTGATGCAGCAGGTTATCTCCTAACCTTACCTCACCGAGGTTCAAGGTGAGACTGTCACTGTTCTGGTCACGGCAAGATATATTCCCAACGGTCTCAACACTCCGCGAATGGAGCACTGAGAAGCCGTGTACAAACAATACTCTGAGCCCAAGACATTGGATATCGTTTTGTTAGACGCTTCCGCCCCTTTTGCGTATAATACAAATACCAGACCCTGCAGGCTTATTCTTGCTTGACTCCGAACACTGATACAACTCCTTCCTCGTTGACAGAAACCAACTGCTTGGCACCAGCACCCCACTGAACCGACAGCGCCGCAACCGAAGTCCTAAGGGGCTCCGTCCATGACTTGGAGCGCTTGGTGTACTGCTGCACCGTGATGCCGCCAGAACCCGCAGTGGCAAGGTATTGCCCGGTGTAGTCCCAGGCCAGAGACTGGACTGGCCCCCCGGTCTCGAGAGTCTTGACTATGGCTTCCTTGCGCAGGTCGAAGATGGCGACCGAACTTTGGCCCTTGGCGGTTGCCGCAAGCCAGAATCCGTTTTCTGAGAAGGCCAGAGCCTCAATGGGCGCCCCAAGATTAAAAACGAGTGCGATCTCCAAACTGGTCGTCATGAATAGTTTGATGTCGCCCGTGGTTGTGCCAGCCGCAAAGAGGTGGCCGTCGGGGTGGAAGGCCGAAGATGTCAAGGCTACGCCAGTTAGCAGCTGGAAAGCCGGTATCACGAAGCGTTGATAACTTACCAGCATCGGCATAAGCGCGGCCAACCCTCTTCAGGGCATTGAGGTCGTAGAACACGATGCTCTTGTCAGAACCGACGGACGCGAGCAGGTCACCAGTCGGGTGAATGCTCAAGGACGTGGCAGGTCCCGCGTGCTCGGAAAACGACGCAACCTCGCTGCCACCCTCAAAGACCTTGACTGATCCCTTGCTCGTAGCGAAAACCAGCCTACTACCCGTCCACAGGGAGTCAATTACCGGCTCGTTGACTGCAACTTGGCGCTCCACTTGGTCAGCCTCAAGCGAGTATATCGCGGCTTCTCCCCCCCGACCGCCCACCGCCGCATAGCCTCCTTCGAGCGCAAGAGAGGAGGCGTTGGAAACCGGTACTGCTGTCGAAGCCACGGTGGCTAGCGAGGCAATATCTTCGGAGGTGGCCCAATCTCCTGGGACTGGGCGCTTCGGGCGACCCTTGGAAAGTCTGCAACGCGTTAGTGCGTTGGTCCAGCATACGGCTACTTTCGAATTGACTTACTCTTGCTGCTTTGCATTGACTTTTTCAACCCACTCCTCGGGAAGGCCCTCGGCCGAGTCGATGGCCATTGCATCTCCATTTGTAGCTCCAGCAGTGACGCTGATTTTGGAAAGTGCGTCTCTGGCCTCGTCTCGCTCCTTTGACAGTCGCGCAATAACACGGACAGCGGCATCATGCTGGTATAGAGCCGTTGCAAGCTCTTCCCGTGTTCTGGAAAGCTGCTCCTTCAAGTTGAACGTCTCAAGGGCGAGGGCATCCCACTCGTTTTGGAAAGTCGCAAGCAGGGCCGGGATCGAGGTGAGCGTCGGGGGTCTAGGTCGAACAATGCGCGACTGAGTAAGAGGCAGGAGGTCATCATTCGTGAGGGCTTCGCCGGTTCCGGGTTCGGTGCCGTTTTCCTCAATGTACTTCTCGATCAATCTTTTCTCGAAGATGATGCCTGGTCGACGTTAATTAGCCTAGCGACTCTGCCTCGTGATCGCAAGCCACTTACCCGACTTCTTGGAGGCGACGGGCTCCTGGGGAGCTTCTCCAGAGACTATAGACCTTGTCAGTACCGGTCAAAATCTTAACAACCATCTCGAACGTACTTGCGCACAGCATTGTCCCAAAATTTCGCGGTTTCGATGGGCTGCTGGATGGTTCGTTCGCGTCGACCCTTTTGCCTTTCAAAACAAATCTTCAGCCTTGCTGCGTGCTTGCCAACCGGGTGGGTCTCCAGCTCAAAAGCTCGAGCCGCTTCATCACGTGTGGCATTTACTCGTATCGCTATCTTATCTCCTTATCGCTCTATAACATCACGCCGAGGCCCAGCTAGCATCCAACGACAATAGAGTGCGCGATATCTGAGGGAATTTCGATTGCGGGAGGATTTGGTTGCGCCTCATAGTCTGTGCCGGGTACAAAGAGAAATTTAACATTTGAGAGAATGGCGTCTCTGCCCGACGCCAGCACCTTGACCAGCTTGTCTGCTGAGGAGCAGAGAAGGGTCCTCGATGCCCTCTTCGAGCCGAGTCCCGCGATTCATGCACTTATCCTACCTTCCATATCAGCTGCTTCGTTTCAAACCTACGACGAACTCATCACGCATTGTTACAAGATCTTTGAAGCGCTGACGGCCGACCCGTCTCATAAGACAGAACTGTACTCTATCATTAGCTCCCACCCACGACTTGGTGCCAAGAAGGTGGAGAGTGCTCAGTCTGCTGCGGAACAGGCGCAGCTACAGAGCGGAGATGCAACCGAGCTGGCTGCCCTGAACGTCGAGTACGAGGCGAAGTTCCCGGGTCTGCGTTATGTCGTCTTCGTCAACGGCAGAGGACGTCCAGAAATTATGGAGAATATGCGAGAACGTATTTTACGTGACGACTTGGCTTCAGAGGAGCGCGCGGCTATACAAGTAAGGAAACCATATCGTTCTAGGGTCTCTCGTCTAATCTTGTAATAGGCCATGTGCGATATTGCTAGAGATAGAGCTGCAAAGCTTCAAGCCACCTCGCGATGAAAGGGTTGAATGCAGATTAAACAGAGCACAAGTTTGGTCGCAGAAACAAGTGCGTCATGAAGTACTCGACAGGTTCCGCAGATATTTCCCTTCGACCAATTCACGTCAAAGGTGATGCGTTGGCATTCAGGTGGCGAGAGCCCCTGCTACGGGAAAGTCAATATGTAGACCACATATGACCTTCTGCGAACTCGATGTCATAGCCTTCCAAGCCTGTAACATTGGACAAAAGTCTAGCATGTCTATGAGAAACCACCTTGCACGTCATGAAGACATCACAACTTGACATCCTCCTCGATAAACTTCAACAGCCTCTCGACGCGCTCGGCCTCGCGGTAGCCACTTATGACTGCACCAGCGACGCTTCCGCGGTTCTCCATTTCAGTGTGCTCACCAGCAAATCCAAGTCTGCCGTCCCAGACGGGCCTGCTCAACTCCTTGAAATCAAGAGGGCTTCGCTCGCCATTGCTTGAGATAATGGACGGGGTCGTTGTAGCACCGCACGAGAATTCGTCTGTCAACCAGTTCGTCAAGCCGGTCTCGACCGGTGCCGGAGGCTCAGAGGAAGGTTCGAAACGGGAAACGAGGAACTTGTGGTAAGCTGCTGCGACTTCCTCGGAGTCGAAGCGAAGAAGGGCGGTAGCAGGTGTTTCTGAAAGATACGTCAGGAGGGTCGGGCTGGGGCCAGGGAGGGTCGAGCTGGCGAAGTTGGCGCAGACCAAGGTAGATGCCTCAAAAATCTCTGCAGGGGTCGAGGACTCAGTAATGACGACAGGCTTCGTAGAGGTAGGCAAGAACGTGTAAGAACCCGCCTTGTCGGCATCGGGCCACCAGGCTGTCGGGTATTGAAGCAGGAGCTTCTCCAACACACCGACATGAGTGCCCTTGATCACCTCTTGCAAGCGAGGGGGGAGGGGAGGGTTGAAGGTGCTCTCAGGGAGAGTTTTGAGGGTGCCAAGCGGGATGGTGGAAACGGCCGTCTTTGCGGTGAATTTGTTGCCCTGCGCGTCAGTCACAACAAGTCCGTTTTCGCTGTGTGACACGCCAGCAATCTTAGTACTCAACTTCACCTCTGCTCCTTTCGCCTTGGCATCTTCGATGACCTTGTTAACCAAAGCCTCATAACCTCCCTCGGGGGCGGCATCGGAGCCGGCAAAGGCGGTCGCGGCCTCCCATCCTGCCCACCTCAAAGATGCCTTCTCGAGCTTGAGTCCCAGAGGGATTTCCAGAGACCGGGCTAGCGCGACGGCCAAGTCCTTCTGGTTCGATGCAACCAGTGAGGAGTTATCGGCGAAGAGGGCTGAAGCAAGTGAAGCATCAGGCGGGGGAGTAGGGTGCGGGAGCTTGGTAGATGCATGTGCAGCCCCCAGTGATGCACGCAAGCTATCGGCTTCCGAGCTGGAGAGACGGCCTGATGAATGGCAATTAGTGAGCGCACAGGTCAATGTTGAAAGATGAAGGGTTCGGCTACACACCGTTTGGACCATAAACCACACCTTCGGCAGCTTTAGGTAGATGCGCGACCTAATTCAACTCGTTAATCCGGTCCGTGTTTCCAAGGCAGGTAAAAAGCTACTCGTACTCACAACACCAAAATCTTGTGCAATATACCCAGCAGGATTGCCCTCTTTGTATCCATGAATCCAGCTGCATCCCACGTCAACTTTGACGTCTCCCTTTACCCACGTGTTTGCACGCCCTCCGACTCTGTCTCTGGCCTCTAGCACCAACACCTTGCGCCCCTTGCGAACAAGCTCACGCGCGGCAACGGCACCGGACCAGCCGGCCCCAATAATGATCGTATCCAAAACTTGGTTCGTCGACATAATGCTGCGTTTAAACATGTGTTGACCGTTTGAGGCCTAAAAAAGGGTCAAGTGTCGGGTCTTGATAGTTTGGTGATGCTTCATCTACTTGGATGAATCACCCCGCGTCGAGTGACCCCGCCAATCCCAAATGGTTCGTTCGGCTGTTGTTCCCGTCACGTCACGGCGGGGCCTAGCCTGAGTTTCGGGAAGATGTCCGATCGGGCCGATCATCGGAACGGACGGGTCTCAACTGATGGCGAAAGAAATGGGCTTCTTCCACTTTGACGAGCCCATCTTTTCTCCGTTCTCAGTACTTAATGTGAGCCGCCCTTATACACGTCGTCACAAGCATAATTCTCCGAGGGAGAGCTGTCCCAGCCGTAACAACAGAGGGATTCGAAGCGACAGCCTCAGTATTATCCACGATGCCGCAATTGATTCCCTTGTCTTCCGCACGTTCGCTTTCTAGCGTTATTCGTGCTTTCAGAAAACCATACTTAATCTCAACAGAGGGCAATCAGCTCAGTTGGTAAATGCTGTGCCGACCGCCCACCCACGGATTACTTGGTAACTCGGCAAGTCTTCTGGCTGCCATCTTTCTGTTCAATGAATTGTAGGAAACTTTGAATTATCCGACAATTCCCTCGAGGTCTACCTACCCCCAACCCACGATATGCCGTCGAGCTCGTCGAGATATTCCTCGTACGAGTGACCATCATCCTCAATCTCTCCATTATTTGCTGCTCCGCCAAATATGGCTCCAAAATCCGAGTACACATCCTCTAAGTCGTCGTCCTCGGCCCACGCATAGGAACAGTCGTGATCTGTTGTGGGAAAAGCCAGCAGCCCGTCGTCCTCCATATCTTCAAGCATCGCCCCGGAAGGAGCTAGTACCGGTGACCGGGTAGGGTGCAGTCTCGGCGATTTGGGAAGTGTTCGGGAGGACTGAGGTGTTCTTGAAGATGCCAGAAGAGAGTTTGTTGCATTTGGTGTGCTAGGCGAGATTCCCGATCGCATCAACACCACTCTCGCCGCAGGTGTTTGCTGCCGCTGCTCTGCAAGTGCAGATGGTTGTGCAATAAATCTAGCCCCCGTGGCCAGCTGCTGCCCGTGATGAAGGACGGCTGCATTCTCCGCAGTCACGGCGACGGTAAGATCCCCCCGTAGTCTCGCTTCGTCCCGCACGCGTATTCTGACTCTGTTGAGCACCGCGGCCCTCAACATGATTGAGCTCTCCCGGCCCAGGCCCTGCTTGCCGACATCCGGAAGGGTTGCCGCCGCAGCCAGCCTAGCGAAACGTTTGTCGCCCGAAGCAATGGCTTTGCGATTGATGATGTGAGTTGCGGGCAGGGAGAACGGTTGGGACAGTCGACTGGTTATGAGGTGAAGCCTCAAGCGACGCTTCTTGCAGCTCAAGGCGGCTGTGTGCGGACCGTCAATATCGGATTTGGCTCTTTGGCGCTTCTCGACTTTAGGTGACGGCGGTTGCCGCAAGAAAACGAAGCTTGGGTGCTCGTGATTCGCGGAAATGACAAACGGGTTTGTTGATGTGTGCAATAGCGAACCGGGTGGCCGGTTAGCGTTTGCTTTCCCCACGGATGCAGATGTAAGTGCTTCCGAAGGACACTCCAACTGGTAATTGCTCGAGGATACTGTAACAGGCCTACAGCTTGTATTCAAGAGACAGTCGATCTCTTTTGTAGAACGCTTCTTTAATGCCAAGGGCGGGGGAAAACCTGTTGCAACGCCGATAATCCCGTCATCCTCGCAAGCTGAACTTTCAAGCCGCCAAATTCTGAACGGTTCCAAAGTACTGCGATCCAAAGAGCCGACCTCGACCACCATTGTTATCTCCGTCGGTGTGTTGATGCGGCGTGGTTGAGGTGGTCAAGCGGCACCTTCACTTCTCCCGGACACCTGGACTGTATCGGCGTATATCAATCGTTCTAGGGCCCGTTCATATTCCATGACCATTCTCTTGGCGCCGATCTAGCTGGCATACACCGCCGGCATGGACGACCAGTGACCGTGAGATGGACTTATGGGGTCTGGTGAGACAATAAGGCCACACAAAGATCCAAGGTAAGACGGAGTGGAGCGGCTTTGAACAAGGCAGGACCCTAATGCTTAGCGAGGGAGTCCTCTTGATGCAGGCTGCGTGGCAGAGAGCGGGAAGAGCGGGAAATACGAAAAGGTTGCCGTCGTTCTTGGCTATAATGGTTTGAACACGAGACGCCGTCCTCTATTTATTGCCTTTAATCGCCAGAGTGATCATGGTGGACGACGGAGAAAGCGGGGAGAGCGAATGGAGAGAAGGGAGATCAGCGCCAACCGACGGACGGGGCGTAACCGTACATTCAACCCAACCTGGCCAGCGTGTTCGACCCCTCTCTTCTTTTAGGGCCTGGGATTTATGCTGCGGCACACAAAGGCAAGTCAGACTAGTATGGGATGACTCTCTGTTGACTGATTGATGTGTGGGTGTCAGAGAGGAAGACAAGGGTCACTGAGGCAAAGACCTGGGGAAAGCTAGCATGAAGCGAATGGGATGACGGGGAATGCGCCGGTCACCCCTGGTCATGCACCAATCCACCCCGGTCTGGGGTTGAGAAGGGGGAAGATGCGGGTGACATGGGCGGGAAATTTGGGGCGTTTCTCAGGTTTGGACAAGCGTGGATAAGTATGCGTAAGCTGCGTGTCCATCTAAAGGAGGTAAACTTGTACCACTTTTGGTTAGCAATGCGAGGAATACTGCGAGCTCAATTTGGATCATATCGTGCATCGCCAGTCATCTCATCTCATACCTGCGATTACAAGCATTCATACTCGGAAAGCAATTCGTGGATGATAGGGAGCTAAAGACACGGACGGCATCCTGCACCCCAGGCCAGGTCTTTTTGTCCAGATCAATGACATTACTGAGCGGTGACTTGAAAGCCTGTTGTCTTCCACAGCAAATGCGCAACCAACCTCGACAATGTATGGACGTGGTGCAGGTCTCGAGGATTCGTGTTGATATTCACGATCCAAGCCCGCACTCCTGGATTTCACCACATTTGCGATCTCTCAACATTCCGGCGGCTTTCCATCTCAAGGGCCTCATTCATCCTCGTCGGCTATTGTACCCTCCGCGGCCCCCTTGGAGTGTGCCAAGGAACTCGAGCCACGGAAAACGAGATGCAAGTGCCCAAAAGAAAGTAGCCAAATATTGTCCTGGTGCGACACCAAAAACACTTGCCATTCGTCATCTCTCTCTGCGGCAAGCCCAACCTCTCCACCTATCCCCAGAATTCTTGTCTTACCTTTTGGGGTGGTGTGCGCGTTCATGCCTTTTGGTTAATCACTATGGGGTGCATCATGCAGTGGTCGCTGCTGCCCACCCATTGACAATACTTCCGAGACAGCTCACAGCCAGCAGAGCTACAGAAGGCGAGGCGAGACCGCGAACGCGGCATGCCCAGGACAGGACGGCAATGCGCAGTAGCTCGTTTCGTCCACCGAGCTGGTCTACTGCTTAAGTAGCACTAGGCAATAGCGGCATTTCGTTTGCTTACAAGTCTCTAGAATGGGAGGGTCACGCGCAGCTTTAGGTGTTTTCGCCATGAGCGACATTGGGGTGGCAGACTCGATATTTGGCCAATGAGCATGGTGGGGAATGAGTGAGCCATCGCTGGAAAAAGTACTGGCGAGCACAGAAGAGGTGAGCGAAACCAGGGTGCCCTGTCTCTTGGCTCGCAGCTTGGGCAATATGGCCATTTCTAAATTTCATCTTTTTTCATTTTTGGCTGCGGTCAATGTAGATCACTGTAGCAAGCGTTAACCGTCGCTCAATGGCGTTTAAATCATACCAGTACCGAGACTTTCCCTACGACAAGTCTCATATTCCAGAAGCCTAGAGTGGCCACATTCTGCAACCCGCTGCATGCCAATCCCACACACGGTTTTCCCGAGTCGGGCTCGTTCCCATTATTCAAGTCCCCTAGGGCCGGCCAAGCGGCCGTAGCTTCCATCAGTTGTCAAAAACTAACTGCCAAGTAGGCATTGAGACCGAGGTGGCGCCAAGCCGTAAGTGAAAGGTGACAAGCAGGCAGTACACTAGGATTGGAGTTCAGCTGAAGTTCTTTCTTGGACTCGGGGGAACAAAGTGGGACGACTCCAGCAGGGGGTCTGAGCTGAGGGTAGCAACGGCTTTGGCCTCCTGGGGCCCTGTCCGCAACCCTGGCAAATATAGGTACTGTATGTACGGATACTCCGTACACTCAAAGCCTTTTTGTGTTATCCGTATCCGTACCTACACTAGGTAGCAATGCAATCGCTGCTCATATTCCACCGGCATGAAATACTGTCTGCCGACCGCAGCCCCGGCGTGGCCGGCCCTGATGCTTGGGAACCGGCCACTTCCATGCTCCATCAAGCCCGAAGAAATACGGGTGTTCCCCGGAGCGTCACCGGCCTCCCGGCAATCTGCCAAGTACTCGCCGAGAACGCTCGATAACGGTACCTACCTCGGCAAGATGCTGCAACAACCGATAGTTTGAACTTTCCCTCACATGGATGCCTCGGCCCTGCACCGAAAAAGGCTCGAGGAGCTCGCTCCCCCACGGACGGCCACAGCCCTGCCACAGCACACTCTCGTCCCGAGGTCCAATTCTCCCCCACGTCCCACACGTCCCACGTTGCAGGTCAACTTGGGTAAAGTTAAGCTACCTAATCCCCAGGCTAGGCTTTGAGATCTAACATTTCTCGACTACCTGTACCTAGCAAGACTCATCTCATCAAGACATTCCAGGCCCTTGCTTGAGCTTCCGTCATCCTTGGCAACTGTCCGATTCAGCGTTCCTCGTTTCCTTGATTTCCTTTTGTGGTGATCCTCTCTGTGTGCACATTCGTTATGCCCAAGCTTCTATTCCACGACGTCTTGGCGCTGGCACCGTTGGCGACGTCCCCGAACCATACAACGTCCACCGGTAGCGCAGTCAAACGATACATGAGTCTATACCCAGCCTGGATACCCGGCTCAGAACTCGTGGGTGGACAAAGCCGAGGATCCAAGGCCGACCCTCGACCTGCCTACGGCGGGCACGTCTACTGCCAGGCGGCTCTGGCAGCAAGCCGCGCTGTCAAGGAAGAGGAGCCTACGGAATCAAGAGGGGATTTCGGGCTTCATGTGAGATTGCATGGCGTGATTGCTGCCGCCTAAGTTTACTAATACGCAATCCAGACCATTCAAGGTGTTTTTTCTGCTGCCACCAGGTCAGACAGGCCTTTGGTATACGAGGTCTCTGCTCTTTCAACCAGCCGAACTTTCTGCTCCAAGCTGGTAACTGCGCGGCAGCCACAAGCAATGAGCAGCAGAAAAGAGCACGATGACAATTTTCTGCTACAGGATGCAGAAGATGAATTGGGCAATGTGTGCTTCACCTGCATATGCACTTTCAAGCGACCAGAAGAAGGACGAATCGACTCGCAAGAAGAACCTCCGCAAAAACGCTTTGCCGATATCCTTGCGACCAAATCTCCAAGGGACTGGCCTCATGCGCCGGCGGTAGACGTGGAAGAGATCAAGACCATGTTTCCAGCTGTCGGCGAGACAACGTTTCCCGTTGTTGACATGCACAAGGTCGATTTGACAGCGTACAATGAGGGCAAGCCCTCAACACAGAGGAAGGAGCTCATTCTCTACCGGCTCAAGGGCCCGCTCACAGCCAAGGACCCGAACTCGCATATCGCTGTTCATGCATTTGAGTCGGACCGCAACGGGCTTTTGATGATAGGGAATCACAATGGCCTTGGGTGGAACCTCGGAACAGCAGTCAGCCTGACATACAAATTTGTTGTCCACGTCAACGCCGACCAGGCCGTGATGAAGGATCCTTCGGGGCCGGATGACGGCTGGTGGATTCAGGAGGCATCCTTCCCTCGCGTCGGCCAGGGACGAGGAGCGTTGATGTGTAAGATATGGAGTCCCGAGGGGATCCATGTTGCGACTGGATATCAAGATGGTATTGTCAGGGAAAGAAGGGCAGAGGGACTCAAAATCATTGAAAAGCTGTAACATACACAACAACGTGGCAACATTGAGCAAGATGGTCTAGACGATACTGATTGCAATACATCTATATTTAGATCGACCAAATGCACATCGACATGGAGCATTTATTTTGCCTCTCCATGTTCTGCAAATATGTCGGCAGTCTCGGTTTTGGTCTTATTTCTGATCTTGATCCTGCTGCAAACCGTGTCTCTCTTCTGCCCCCCCAACCAACTGCTCAGTCTATGTAAAATTCGTGAGGAAAGCGCGAGCTGACGCGCAAGTGCTCTTGCCTTCCCACTTCTTTGCACGGAGAAAACAGCAAGTACACACTCACTCTCAGCTGGGTAAAGGAAGCACCTACTTCCTCATTTAAACCAGCCCAAGCCAAGACCTTTGATATCTCACTCCATTGCTTCCTCTTCCTTTACATAACTTCTGCTTCAGGAAACCAGACTGCGCTCGTTTTGTTTTCCACACGACCAAAATTCAAACTTCACCTCCCTTAACCTCCGCAACCACCTTTCCATCTTACTTCCAGTACTCAGTATTCACAAGCCTGACCTATCTTTGTTCTTTTTCAAGTGATCTTACCTTTCACTTACAAAGGGGAAGAAGTCTGCAATCTCTTGTTGCTCTATCAGGTTTTACCTCCAACACATCATCCTTTCATCCACATCATCAAATCATCACAGACTTCACCTACCTCCACCTTTTTGCAGTCAGTCTCAAGGTGTTGGCACTGCAGTGCTGCAAGATTCAACGCCACCGACCTCGTTCACCATCATCGAAGAACCCCACACCCTTTTGTTATCAACCTTTCGTACCAAGGGCCAACACTTTACCGTCAACATGGCCTTGCTCTCTCCCTCCAAGGGAGTTGCGCCCCTGCAGCAATCTCGTCTTGTTGCATCAGTCACACAATTGGAGGATATCATCCGAAATGCTGAAAATGAAGCTGAGAAGATTGAGACTGATTTGGCTTACAAAAAGGCTCAGATCGCAGACCTGAAGTTCGATAGGATTGCTCACAATGGGCCCACAATCGCCTTTGACAGAGTCATCAAACGCGCCAAGTCTGAGTGTGAGCGGATTCATGACGACCTTGACAGCAAGAAAGAGGAGATTGCAGTCTTGAAAGATAAGCTGAATAGAAGGGTTGCAAAGCTAGCGTCCATCCCTTCAGTTGAATTTGCAGACGCGCCAACTCCTGAAGACGACAAGGAAGCTGCAGCCCTTCTCGAGATCACAAGCACCCAGATGAGTGAGATCTTCACCATCAGTGATGACGGCAAGACGTATGTCAAGCCTGCGATGCTTCGAGGAGTCCCGATCGAGCCCATCAACGAGAGCGATAAGTATTGGGAGGCAACATGGGTCAAATTCAACGAGGCTATCGACGAGGACCGGGTGGAGAGAGAGTACCAGCAGGAGCTCGATGCCTGGCACAAGCTAACTCAGCAAGGAGACCCCTTGGCAGAAGAGCAAGATCTCGAGAAAGGATTCAAGAGATACCAGCGCAAACTTAACCAGGCCAGGGTCATCAAGAAGTGGTTCCGCCCCGGCAGCACGATCCACCCTAACCAAATCATGGCCAAGCATCATCTGCCCGGTATGGGACTGTGCATTGCCCATGTCCTCTACAAGATCTGCAATATCCTCGGACGTCTCGGTGCATTGCATGAACGTGGAGAGCTGGGCATGCCGCCTCTTTACTTCCTCATGTGGAGAATGAGCGTCTCCCTCGAACGACAGCCGCGCACCCATATGAAGACATTCTGGCGTGTCATCATCGACGAAGACCACGTCGCTTACGACGAAGTCCTACGCAAGGCCGAGATCAGAGGCGCCCAGCACGTGGGCGACTACAACTTCTACAACCGTCGGATGAAGAAGGCAGTATCTGCGAAGGACCAAAGGCGACAGCCTGTTGTTTCTCCCAGTGCAACCAACACAGCCCTCCACCCTCCGGGCCAACCCACGACCCCTTCTTGTAAGTCTCGCGACGACCAATATCAGTCCACGCCAGCCACCACTGCACCATCAGCTCCTAGCCCTGTGGGCTTGCCAATGACCACCTTGGCCGCCGAAGAAGAACCAACGGCCCATGACTTGCAACAACATCAACGTAAGAGACGACGATCCGCGGCAACAGCCGAGCAGCAGACTTTGGAGGGAGACAGGGACGCAACATCTACCAAGAAGGCGCGCAAAGCGGCATGGAAAGGAATGCAACTTACGTTGCGCCCGGTGTCTTCAGCCGAGAGCCCGGCCTCGGATTACACTAAGATCTCGCCATTTGCAAATGATTCAGCGATGAAGGACATGCCTCCGTCATCACAGGGAGAGAAGGAGACACATGCTACGGTCAACGAGCTTCCCCAGAAAGTTCATGACGTCAAGCCCAACAGCGCAAGCGGCAGAACTGCGCAGGCTTGGAGTGAGTACGCCGAGGAAGTTGAGAGGCGAACCCGTTCCCCAAAGATAGAAAGCCCTGGCCAAGACGCTTCAGCATACTTCATCCCCGTCGGCCAGGATGACGAGTTCCCCGGCATCCAGAAGGATATCTCAGAGCTTCGGGCTGAGGTCGGAGAGAGTCCGTTCCCAAAGACTGGGAAAAAGGTCTCGCACGGATTCATCTTTCCGTGGTACTGCTGCGAAGCAGCCCGCAGAGCCGATGAGAGCTGGTAGAAGAAGCGGCTGAATCTAGACAGTTGACAGACGCATGAGGCAGAAGCGGCTTGATGAATGCTGGTCGAGTCGAACTCAGCTCGCTGGCCAAGTAGGCGAGTCCCGGGGTATTTTTTCTTCGCTTTCTCGGGAACGATTGCATGTGACGTTTAGATTATGGACTGCATCAACTTTGTTTGTACAATAGCAGCAGAAAGGAACACTCCCAAATCAGACCATCAACATCCTTGGTCAGTATGATGGGGGAGCTGAGCAATGTCATGCATCTCATTTGGCAGCCTGTGTCTTGTAAGGATATCACGTGACAAGGAAAAGTCGCTTATGATGCCGGTTACGGCAAGTACCTTGGCCAGTGCTCTCTTCGAGCGGTGCCCGCGACCCCCGTAGCTTACCCGACAAGCCGCAGAACATCAAACGAGACCATCAAATCAGGCCATAGACAAATCCCTCTCTCTTCAACCAAATCCGACGTCACAACAACGAACCTCTCCTCTCTGCACCCCCAATTGCCATCGCCATGTTCTTGCAACGCTCCGCCATCATGGCTGCCCGCCGGGCCGCCGTCGCTCCCCTCGCCAAACGCACTTTCGCGACCTCCATGATCCGCCGTACGAACCCCAATTGACTCCCCCCATAAGATCCCGAGCCAAGGAAAAAAAATAAGGCCCGCGAGCGAAGCCATTCCGAAAGTTCCCATGTCGCTGACTCTACGGCCATCCGTGGCCACAACCAGGCGACGCCAACCCTTCTACCCCCGCCAAGCCTTACAAGACCATCAAGGGTAAGGAATCTCTGCGTCAATTGATTCGAAATCATCGTCGACGCCGCGCGCTCGGACAGGCGCGGCCCTATGGAGTGCACACGCATCACCCGCATCCCTTTCGGGCCGCGTCATACGATATGGAGCGACGGACGATATCTTGAATCGAAACCTGCACGGATATACGATGCTAATCAAATGCAACAACACAGAAATCAAGGTCGAGGAGGACCTCGTCGGTCCTGGTGCCAAGCCCGGTACCATCCCTACCGACCTCGAGCAGTCCACCGGTCTTGAGCGTCTTGAGATCCTTGGAAAGATGGAGGGCGTCGACATCTTCGACATGCGCCCCCTTGATGCCTCCCGCAAGGGTACGCGACTCACCCCTTGTCCTCTCACGCGGCCGCCAGGAATCTAACTCGCTGAACCAGGCACCATGGAGAACCCCATCCCCGTCCGCTCCGCCGGTGAGGAGCAGTACCTCGGCTGCACCGGTGTCCCGGTCGACTCCCACGTCACCATCTGGCTGACCGTACGTGCCTTCGCCGGACCCCGGTTCATTCTCGTCGAGGAACATGATGACCTGACCAAATGATTTTACAGATCTCCCGCGATCGCCCCATCGAGCGCTGCCCCGAGTGCGGCTCCGTTTACAAGATGGAGTACGTCGGCCCCACCGACGACCACCACCACGACCACCACCACGGCCACGGCTACGAGGAGCCCAAGACCTTTGCCGACTTCGTTAAGCCCGAGTACCGATACCAATAGATGCATCGCCCGACGGCGGGACATGTAGTAGCAATGGCGAGACTGGGGGCGAGACGGCATCGGGGGGGCTCTGGAGTGAGCACGGCAGATGTGAAGATTACCTTAGTTATGGCTGTATAGAACCTTTTTTTTTTCTCCCGGCTTCTGCCTTTCGGCAGGTTTCCTGCAGAACGTGTGGGCTAGCGTGTCTGCGAAGTCGCGATGGTCTGATCCTAGTAGACTGATGTTGAGGCCATAGTGAAGCGCTGACACTGCTATACGCAACAGCAGCCCCCGCCCGCGGCTGTATCCGCCAGTTGTGGTGATATTGATGATGCCGTGCCCGCCATCGCCACGATGTCACTCCGGGTCAAAGCTCAGCTTAATCTTCTTGCCCTTCTTCTTGGAAGCCTTCTTCTTAGCGCCCTCGTCGTCCTTGTCGTCCTTGTCGTCCTTGTCGTCCTTCTTCGCAGCCTTGGACGTGTCTCTGTCGTCTTCAGCATCCTCAGCAGCGTCACCGCCAACAACCTTGCCAGCTTTCCGCTTCTTGCTCGCCCCGATCCCCGCAAGCTTCTCCGCCTCTCTCCTCTCCTCCTTCACGGTCGCTGTTTCGCCTCCCTCCCCCTCCTTCTTCAGTGCCTCCTCATCAACGCCGCCGTCCTTGTTCACCCGCACGTCGACAACGTTGCCCTCGTCGTCCACGACGAGCGGTGCGTCCTCTGCCTCCTCGCTGTCGGAGCGCTTCTTGCCCGCTCGCCGCCTCTTCGAGAGGATGGGGTCTGGGTCCGCCGCATTGCCGGCCGCCTGGGCGTGGAGGGCACGCAGGAAGGGCGGGATCGTAGTGTCATAGGAGAGGTTTTTGGAGGTAATTTTGTCCGACATGGCAGGGGGTGCCGCTGCGCAACACGTGGTTGGCGGTAGGTTCTTTGTCGACTTAGTCTCGTCTACTGTGTTATTTTACCATGCTGTACCAGCCCGGGAGGATGTTCGTGATCGGGTGGCTTTTGGTGGAAGGGAGATGGGCGTTGAGGTTGAGGAGAGGATGCGATGCGACGAGCAGCCGTCTCCAATGCGTCGAATTCTTGGGTCAATGGGTGTGGGGGCGAGGGCCTCCAGTGGTCAACCATGGCCTTTAGCGGGTGGTCTAGCTGGTCTAGCCGATTAGCGACCTTTCCGACGTCGTAGCACATCAATACCTCGCTAAGTTACAGCGGACGCTTCTGCAAGCCCAGCGCCTGACCCATCAAGGTTGCGCGCCGCACGGCTCGCCAGTAACTTGCATATTCTTCGTCGCGTTTGCTTTACTCCTTAGTCCGACCCTGCATTTATCGCGATAGAAGACGAAGAAAGCAACAAGATATCCGTACAAATGATCCGACTGAACTGCGTTGCTGACTAGGTAAACTGACTTCTATTGACTATGGTATCTTATGGCGAAAACCGAGTAAATGCAAGCGGTCTCATGTATGTACCAGCCACTCCATGTTTTCCGCCCCCCAACGCCACTTCATCCGTTTGTAACGCCAAATCCGATTTTGAAATAAAAAGACCCGTTTCTTGGGAACATATATAAAGATAGGTAGCCGCTCTCGCCCGATTCAGACAATCTGCTTGACAAACTGGGGTCCAAAGCCCTCAGGTCCGAAGAGCGTCACGGGCAGGGACGCCACGGCGGTCGCAGTCAGCTTGCCCGCATCGGGGGCACGGTTGAGCGCCAACAAGCCAAGAGCGCCGTCTCCCTGCTGGTTCGTGGAGAAGAGCGTCTTGTCGTCTGTGGACAGGCTGAACATGCGTGGGATCTGGCCGCCAGAGGAGATGGCCTCGACGAACTCGAGTGTGATGCCACCGCCGGCCGCCTTGCAGGGGGAACCGGCCTTGGCTGCCTGCTGCGTGATCTTGAAGTGGGAGATGGAGTCAGTCGCGTTGCCGGTGAGACGGTTGGAGACGTAGACGTCCTTGCCGTCTCCCGAGATGACGATTTCACCGGCCGCGGCGCTGGTGGCGTTGGCCGGGGGGAAGGCCTCGCCGTAGGTGCTGAGCTCCTGGGTGCGGATGAGGGAGATGGAGGAACCGTTGTTGGAGACGGACAAGACCTCGAGGGTGTTGGTCAGCTCGCAAGCGACGATATAGGCCAACGGCTTGTCGGCTTTGGGAGGGTACCAGGCGCCGTGCCGGGGACCGCAGCCAGCAGTGCCGACGCTGTTGCGAGAGGTAATCTCGTAGGCGTCATCCTTGGAGTCGATAATGACGACGCTGTCGGTGCCGAGATCGTTGATGGCGAAGAAGCGACCGGAGGGGTCAAGGACAGCCTGGTGGGCGCGCGACTGGTCCTGGCGAGCCTTGTTGGGGCCGACAGTGCCACCGAGGGTGATTTGCTTCAGGAGCTTGAGGGAGCTCGCCTCAGAGATGTCCCAGACATCTACAGTGCCTTGGCCGCTAGAGAAGTTTGTTAGCTGATGAGGCGAGTATCAATGACGCGAGAGGCTCTTACAAGGAAGCGCCCACGAGACGGGTCTTGTCAGCATTGAACTCGAGGGATACAACACCAGCCGAGCCGTTGGCAGCCTGGACAAGATTAAGCTCATTTGTAGCAGTGTTGAACTTCAGAGGGGTTAGCGCAAACAATCCTTCCAATGTCCAGAGGGAGAGGCATCACTTACGTTGAACAAACGTGTGCTGTTCGAGTTCTCGTCAACGGCGTAGATGAGATTAGGCTCCTTAAACGCCATCCAGCTGGGACCGGTGCCAGGCCGGGAGTCGTTGGCAACGATCTTGAACTCCTTGCCGTCAAAGTCGGCAACAGCAATTGTCCCAGGGGCACCAATCAAGACCTTGGCGGTGGAGGGGGGCGCATCCTGTCTGCTGATGACTGCGGCCGAAGCGGCGGTGACTGACATGATCACAGAAGCAAACCGCATCGTAAGTTTCTGTAAATTTCGAACTGAAAAGTAAAGTGATATGGTTGTGTTGGAAAGTCAGAAATGAAGTGGAGTGTGTAAGATAGAGTTGATCGTCAAAGATAATTGAGTCAGTTGTAATTACAAGTGGGTGTGGTAGAGAGGGGAGGGGAGGCAAAGTTTAGAATGAATAACAGCTTAGAGAAAATAACCGCTCATAGAAGCGAATATGTATTTTGAAGTGAGTACGCAAGTTAGATGTTTCATCCAAAGAATAGAGCAAGAAGCCCAAGAACAACGGGAGGCAGACCTGCAACCTTATAACTGATACCAACAAGGCGTGTGTTGGTGCGAAGGGATATGCATACATTGACTCTGGTCCGTCCGTCCCCTGTGCCATCAGACAATCCTCCTCACTTTGACTCCCTAAGAACCTAAAGGTACACCCAGACTAAGCCCCAGCCACGGCTGAGTCTGAATGAAAAGGAATGGAAGGAAAAGGGAAGGGATGGATAGGGTGAGATGGGACGGCGAGCCTAGTCAGTCCACACTCAGCCCAGCCAGCCAGCCAGTCAGCTTTGCCAGCCTAAGACGCACCGCCTCACGGCCATCAAACACCACAAATAGTACCCATTTTCCCTGTCTCTCTTCCTTCTAAGTTGTTTCTATGCATGCTGTGCCTTTGCTTACACCATTGGGTTCATTGGATCAGGCCCCCGCATCTAACACATCCTTTCAGCGGGGAGGGGGCTTTGATTCCACAAGTCCTGTTCGAAAGGTCGGGACAAAAGACGCAAAGAATAGACAAGAGAGAGTGCATGTCAGGATCATGGCTCTTGACGAGGAAACGGTTGGCGGCGGGTCAGAGTTAGGCGATCAACCCCCCTTTGGCCAGGTTCGTTGCACCGCATAACCACCCCCCCCATCCCCAAAAGGACCATACCCAGCTGCCCCCTTTTGCATCTATCTCATTGTGCTATGTGTTTCCTTCCGGGATCAGACCTTGGGCAGCTTACGGCCAGCCTACAACTGGGCGCGCAGACGCCAGACGTTGACTGTGGGACATGTTTACTGCAGCCTCCCCTAAACCAAACCGCAAATAACGTAGGCACGTAAATCTCTCTGCAGAGGGCGGCGCTCGCAAGCGTCAGGTCAGTACAAGTCCAGTCAGATACCATTGTCGAGCGGTCTGTGTCGTCTGACTGTCCACAGGGATTGGATCCTGTCATCCCGCTCACAGTTCCAGCCGTGAGCCGCTCCTGTCCTGTCGGCGGGCAGCCACAGGAGACAAAACAGACCGGTCATGAGCCCGCGGGATCTCACAGAGGATTCCGGAGGTCGGAGAGGTGGGTTCCAGTCTAGCAAGTCCAACATACCTTGTTGGACACGCAATCGAGAGGCGACAATTCAAGTCTACGAAGCCTTATTCCTTACGCTTCCCCAATACCGATGAAACAGGGGCCAGCATGCCAAGAGGTCGTCAGAGGGCCAAAGGCCACTCACTCCCTTTAGGCGCTGCCGCTGGTCTGGGAGGGGCTGAGTAGAGGGGGGGGCGGTGTTTCGAAGCACATTCGTTCAACCAACATCCTTGGCCGCAGAGGTATTGGACGACAAACATTCCGAGCTGCATTCGTAGTGTGCGTCCAGGCTGGAAAGTCAAAAAAAAGAGTTGGCAGGGAAGACTGTTTGGCTTGTCCCCCACTCCCCTATGTCTTGCGCCCCTACTTCGTCATCTGCGAGTTCGCGACCCAGTCTTCTGCCTTGGGTTATGTGCTTGATTGAACATGATGTATATGAGAAACCTAGACTTCGGGGAATCGAGCGGCGAACCGCCAGCACCCGCGGACGACGGGTCCGGGGCAGGGGCTTTGCTGGCGCCTCAGTGGATTCCATAGCGGCTTATACCTATAGTATCGGCAGCCCACCTCATATCACGTCTATTCTCGAAGTGGCTGCGCTTTGAGAACCAACCGTATCTGTCCAGACGGGGACCGTCGGCGACAACTGCGCATCCGCGTCCAGCCAGGTCACATAAGGAAGAACATGCAGCGTTCCAAGAACATATCAACGGTCAAGCTCAGCACTAACCCTGCAGGGGAGAACGGGAAACCGGTAACTCAAACAGAGCCTTGGTCATCGAGACCTCCACCCTGGAACCGCTCGTGGTTGGGATGTTCGTCCGATAGCTCCCGAAGAAGGCTCGATGCACACTGCGTCGGAGTGTCGTACATGAGGAAATCCCGCGTGCCTGGAACTTTATTGGCTGGGTCTCTGGTTTGTGGATGCCGCGATGGTGGCATGTACCGCTCGCTGCCATGGCAGCAACAACGGGATTGCTAGTATATAGCCGCTGTCTAGGAAAATCAAAGACCATTGGCCGTTTCGGCTATATCAACTCACAGATCGGTGCAGCATTGCGTTAGCAGCATCAATATCTGGGTCCTGACACTCGTTTAGCTTTGGTCAGGGCGGTTTGGCAGTCATCAGGACAACGCAGCCGATGCCTCGGCGAGCCTACTTGACTTCCGTTAGACGAGCTCTGGGCACATGGAAGCCCGTGGGACCAATAGTTCTGCAACTTGGAAGATAATGCTTCTGGCCCCAAACCAAATGTGTTCGTTTTTATAAGGAAAACGTCTGCGGAACAGCGAATGTCTACGAATACTATAGGAGTTCTGAAAGATCCGGCTCGGCTGCGCTTGAACACTCAAGGATCCTCACTAGACATATCATTCGTGCCATAGAGACAACACAACAATTGACTCGAGCTATTATGCGGTTGTGTGTATGTGGTCGTACGTACGTATCATGACAGGTGTGCCCCGACCCAGCTGCACATACTACTGACCGAGAGGTAGCTTCGAGAAACTCGTCCAGCAAACGCGCCATCACGAAAATCCCCACGAAAATCCCACCGACAATGGAGAAAGATGGCATGGAACGCGCCCTCGTCCGATGATTGCCCCGTCCGACAGTAACCTTCCGGCGCCCAAGACGTTGATCGAGGAAGACGTCTGAAGGATCTGCCCACGCTCGCCATCCCTGTCAACTCAACTGGCGCGCCTATCAAAATGTTAGTGCTCGACATACTCTTCATCGCACCCCTGCGATGTCCGACGACACCCACCAACAACAACTAACATCACACTTTGACCAAAGACCCAAACATGGCTCAGCTCGCGCCTCACCCGCTCAAAGGTTCCCTATTTCGTGACTATCGACGACAGGCGAGCCAATGCCTCAAACTCAACATGATGAACACACCAAGTGCCCAAGCTGCCCGCGCCGCATCAACTCGTTTTAGGCCATGGTCGAGCCCCCCAGATCGATCATTTGCATCTCCAATGATCGTCTCATCTCCCGTCGTCGCCGGCGACGCACGTCCCACCACTCTGTCCGATCTCTTCGGACGTGACGGCATCTGCCGTGCAGGTCCAATGGCACACTTCTTGACACTTTCAGGCACAATTGCGGACTACTGCAAGCATGCCATCGCAGTTCAATGGTTCTGGCTGTCGGGTCTAGCCTCCTTAACTTTGGTCATCTCACAACCGGCTTACACAAGACAGACAGGGTTGCACATACGGCATTGGACATCAACCACAAATCGATTGCGCACCTCTCCATATATACGCGACTCTGAACCCAAAGCTTACAGACGGCCGCCTGCGAACGCAATGAGGCGGCTCGATCTCTTTGCTAAAGGAAAGAACGGCAAACGCCATTACCATCAAATGCCTCATGAAATATGCTCCACCAAAAAAAAAATGCTCTCATTACGTATAACGAGCCCGAATCGAACCCCAGTGAGCGGGCCAGGTTTTTCCATCAAACCTTTTCAAACAAAGAAACTGAAGCATGGGGTTCCTGCCTACAGCCAGAAGAGGGCCGAGGCTGCCACGAGTGCGGCGAAAGCACTTGCGCCAAGCGACGACTTGCGGCAGGCGCCGTCGCTTGTGTTGTTGGAACCGGAGTTGCCGTTGCTGTTGCAGTCCTGCGAGAAGCCACCGGCGCCGCAAGAGCTGCTACCAGACCCGGATCCGGAGCCGGAGCCGGAATCGCCCGAGCCGGAACCAGAACCGGAACCGGAACCAGCTCCTGAGCTTGGCGAGCTGTTGTCATTGCTGCTGTGGTCGTTGCCCGGTCCGGCGTTGCTACCGCCGGGGATAGTGGCCGCGGTGACCGTGGGCTTCGCAGCAGAGCCAGAGGCGGTGGTGGCGCCGGCATCCATGTCGAGACCGGTGCCGAGAAAGCTCTGTAGGATGGTGCCCTTGTCGCTGTCCACAACGGTGTCGTTGGTGGACCTGATGTTGTTGTAGTAGTAACTCTTCTTGTTGTTGGTGCCCGGGGGGGTATTGGCGTTGAAGCAGCTAATCTCGACGTCCTTGACCATGGCGTAGTAGTACCCGGCGTTCTTGATATCCTCGCTGTCCCAGTTGATGGGGCCACCGGCCCAGTCAATGGTTCCCTTGGCGTTGGTGTCGGCACCACCGGGCCAGATAGACAGCTGGACGCGGGCGGGCGTCTGCGGGTAGTCCCACTGCTGGGCGGTCGCGTTCCACGTGTCAGAGCGCTTCTTGGTGCGGCCAACCTGGCCATCGACCAGCCACTGGATTTCGTCGGGAGTCCACGAGATCTCGTACGTATGCCAGTTGCTGAATGTATCGGAGAGAGAGATGTTGCCTGATTGATCGTCTGGCATGTGGGTCAGCAATGAACTTTAAAGTTAAAAAGGTGGGCTCGGCTTACATTTTGGGATACCCTGGAAGTAGTAGTTGGTCTGGGACATCTCGAGATCGGCACCGACCCATTCGTAGTCGATTTCGTCCTTGACGTCTCCGTACAGGATGAAGGCGGTCACGACACCGGGACCACGCGAGGTCCTGATGGTGGCCTTGACGTTGCCATACCACATGTATGTGGTTGAGGCGAGGACAGTCCCGACACTCTTTGCAGGCATGGTCAGGAGCACAGCCTCCTTATTGTACAGCGCGGGCTCGCCCTGTGCGACCCAGTCGGCCTTGCTCGGGTCACCCAAATACTTGCTAATATCGACAATCTTGTCGAGCGAGTTCATAGGCATCTTCTTGTCCTGGCAGACGGGGGCGGGAACGCAGGCATCGAGCGAAAAGGACATGCGGGGGTCGCAACCGCCAAGACAGAAGGCGCCAGTTCCGCATTGGCCATATTCTGGGTTTGTCAGTTGATGATACAGCGTACTGGGGCTGGTTTTGACTTACGGGAACAGCAGGGAGCGTCCTCTGGGCACTTGTTGGTCAGGGAGCAGGAAGGGGGGGTCTGGGCGAGAACAGTCGAGGTGCCGAGAAGGGCAAGGCCCAAGGGCAGAATTGACAACATTATGGCGTACGGGTGATGATTATGAATGGAAGGAGAGGACTACGGTATCACGACAGGAGGAGGACGAATGGCTTCGGAGCCCGGAGGTTCTTGGAGGGGATGGTGTGGTGCGAGCTGTTTTGAGCGAAGGTCCCTCGACTGGTATTGGACTCGAGGCTCGCTGGCCGCAGGCGACGGGGGGATGCGGATATGTTCACAGCCGCGGCGAGGAGGAATTCCGGTGTCTGATGGCTTGTGTTCCCGTCGGAACAAACAAGGCCGAGACTTGGTTTGTCGAGCGTTACACAGATGGTGCCTTTGTCTGCCGAGGTCGACGTTGGATATCGAAGTCGAGATGGGCAATGAAACAGACTTTGGTGGATGATCTGGAGGTCCCAACTTCGCGGGTTGGCTCGAGTCGATTTGGGACGACGACGCAGGGGCGTTGGGGTTCGTATTCGTCTGGTCGCGCGGGAAACGATGGTCTTGGGTTAACACGCGGAGAGTGAACCGGCTGGTGTCGAGACGAGACGAGAGTGTAGGTATGTATTAAGCGATAGTAACGTAGGTAGCGAAAGGAAGCAAGGCAGTGCAGGTCAAGAACGAGTGATGACAGCGAGCTACAGTAGGGAAGACGGTTGGTGGTGACTCGAGGAGGGAAACAAGTCAAGGCCACAAGAATTAATTTAGGATGGGAAGGGATGCGGACAGTGGGAGGAGCGGGAAGTCAATCGTGCGAGCGAGCCTTCTCTTCTTAGCCCTTTGTCAACCAAGCACACACACACACACACCTACCTACTTACCTGGGTAGGTAGGTAGCCAGGTAGGTAGACGATAGACACACTACATGTAGGTACTCTCCTCACACATACCCACACAGGTAACTACGGGGACGCTACGTACCTACTTGCCTAGGTACAGTAGATATCTACATACAGTATCCGTATCCGTACATTACCTGTACCTACCGAGAGCCGGGCTAACAATGAACTTCTCTGTCGATCTGGTGCGCTAAGAGCACACGGCCACAACACCATCAGCATCTCGCGCTCGCATTCCCTCCCTGTGTCTGCCCCTTTTCTGCGTGTGCCTATCTGCCTCTCTCTCTTCTCTTCGTTTATCCTGCTCCAACGTGTCCCGGTTCTTTTCAGGGTCCGGCACGCAAGGGGGAGAAGAAATGGAGAGGTCATTCTCCAGGCTTCTCCCCCTCTTCTCTCGAAATCAACCTATCCGGGGCATACCAATGGGGGACGCAGCGCCACTCTTCATTCCCTCATCGGGCCAAGCGCGCTTAATTTAGGTAGCCAGAACCGGTTCAGGCTTGTCCCTGTGCCCCAGTGCCCCAGTGCCCCTCTCCTGTCATGCCATGCAATGCCGTGCAATGCCACGCTCGTGGACATGAAAAAAAAAACAAGTACGGAGTACGGGGGAGGAAATGCTACATACTGCGAAAGACTGCCCTGCCCCCCCTGCTCTCGTACCCAAATAAGCCCAAGGTCCGCCGCCCAGATCACGATTTTCGCTTGCTCGCTAAACCCGATTGGGCACTAGGCCCCTGAACGATCATCCGAGTTTCCGCCCCTGTCGCCTTCCTTGCTTGGCTCTATCCTCCAGCGTGTTCCCTTGCTCTCTCCCCGTCCGTCCACTTTTTTGCAATTCGATAAAGCCTCGATCTGCAGCGATTTTCGGCCATGTGCTTGCTTCCAGGTGCACGGTGCACAGCACGCACGCACTGCAAAGCGCGGAGGAATATACACTATATTTCTTCTCTCAACGTTGCCTGTTATTTTGACAGTTGCCTCTTTGCAGGCATTGAGAAACTGCCCCGGGCTCTGCTGCACCCCGCGCCTGGCATCTATACTCGGTCATCGATCGAGAGCCAGCTGTTTGCCCGTTTCCTAATTTGGGTGCTGATGTCGCTGTTGAAGCGCCAGAAATATGCCAACGTGACTGTCCCGTCAACCAACCCTCTCTAACCGGTATCTGGGTACTTGCCACCGTTGGGACGCTATGGATTGATGACTTAGTGCCCGTTATTTGTTTACCATTTGTACAATACGTTACATCGTATCCGTACATTCTTGCTAGCTTCTCCGCCACAATCACCATGCCGTCCCATCCGAGAATACAAACAAACAACAACAATACGAATAAGTGGGCATTCTCTTATCTAGCGCCGTGAGACATGCGCATCAGCCTATCACCGCCCCATCACCATCACACCACGCACCGTCAAATGCTTACGTAAGTCATAGCACTTGCCTGCCGCAAATTGTCGTCGCTGGTTCAACATTGTTGTTTGTCAGTTACCGATAGAAACCTTGGCTTGTCAACCCGGTAGTCCGAGAGCGGCAGCGAGCAGATGTAAGCTTGTCTAGCTGTCACAGCATACCAGGCTTGTCTACGTATGCGGTTGTCAGATGCTTGGCATCTACTCGGCCTTCTTCGCAACGTCTAAATGTCGCAGGCACTTCTCCTCCTATCTATGAATAGAAAGCGTAATATAGCCATATCTAGCCTAGGGTTTCTAGCTAAGGCTAAGCTATTGAGAATCAACAGACAAAACATCAAACTGATTTAAGCGTACCTATCATATACAAACCAGGCGATAAAATGGTGCAGATAGATGACTTGCTCCTGCATTGAACTTTTTCCTGGGTCCCTTGCCAATACAATTGCAATCCGCTACCACGTCATGAGCCGTGCTACTCTCCATGATCCGGGCTTGGGCTGCAAGCCCGAGCGGTATTCAGCTTCCTATCACCCACCACAAGGGCAAACACCTTCTGCGGCAACGGCAGAACTATACACCCAGAAGAAGTGGCGGGTACTTCCCTGCCCTAAGGATCCAAGACCCTGACGCCTCTTCGGGATAGCGTTATAGCCTTGACCACCTGTGCCGCAGAGCCTCGTCACTCGTCTAAGAAGGGAGACGCCACCAGCTGTAACCCTGCGGACGCTGGATGTGAAGGGAGCAAGTCTTATTGAGTCCAAAGCAGATCAACGTGGCCACAGACAGGACGTATTTACTCATCGACTATCCAGGCCATGACCTGCTCGTTGAGCGAGACTAGCTGTGTAGTCCTCTGAATTAATTTCTCGACTTGTGGCTCTATAAGACTAATAATGCATTGAAATTACCAGCTCGAGCTGCCGAAGCCAGAGTGCCAAGTCACGCAGGTTCTTTTGTGTGGGCTGAAACCCGATGTTATTCAAGCCGTCTACTGATGCAGGTAAGAGTTCACTGCTACGCTAACGCCTTCTTAGCCCCCTGGCTGACGAAACGTGCAGACTCGCCGTTGACAGGACCGCTTTCCCAGGCAGCCGGTGTATGCAGAATACCCTCCCCCGAGGCCACGTCTACGCCAGCACCTGACTTATGCCCAGCTTCTTCCAGTTCCAGGCCCAGTGGCGACAGTCGTTTCAAACTCGTCCGTCCTGATCGGGCTATAGGGCCAGAAGCGTGAAAATTGTCAAGATGTGCGAGCTGTTCTGGTCTAGCGGCCGGACCTCCCAAGAAGGCCACGCTGTCGAAAATGACCGTCGTCTGATCCCGTTTTCAGTGGTACTGTGCCTGTCCATACATTGTATGCGGTCGGGGGAAGGGGGTGGTGAGAGAGACGAGCCCTTCGAGTCTATGTACAGTACTCCGCTGCCATGAACCCCGGAGAGGTGTGTTTCCGCCCTTGTCCCTCGCATCTGAGGCCGCCAGTCGGGAGGGGGGGTGCAGGACCGAAAGGCCGGTCGATCTCGAACACCGATAGCCATGGGTTGTGGAGCAACACTCCTCGAGGGCCCCTCCGTACTGGCAGGCAAGGCCCTCGCCGTCCACGTCATGAAGGAAAGGCCACCACCGCGAAGAGGATAGGGCCAGTCAGGGCGGTGGGCTCGCAGAAGGCCCGGACTGGGCCGTTTTGAGAGGGAAGAGGAGTCAAGCTGGGGCTTTGACGATGGCCGTCATGCCAGGTTTTGGACTTGGTAGCAAATTGTTTGGGATCTAGTCAATGGGCAAAGCACGCCTATGAATAACCGTGTTCACTAGACTGAAGGGTAAAGTCTTCAATGACCAACATGTTTCGACATCGCCAAGTCAACAGAATCCCATCGACGTTGTCATGCCACAATGAGCATATCGATTGCCCATGTCTGGTAATACACACATCAACTGCACACGACGTATTTCTTGGGCCCGAAAATAGAACACAGTTCTTCACTCAATAAGGGTATAGACTCATCATGAATCGAACAATTTCACCGTCCAGAATCCTGCCATCCACCCCTCCACGAGACCAGCCGCACCGAACAAGTCTTTTGTCCGTCCTCCAAGTAACCCCCATCGTCCTCGGTCAACATCCGCCCAGACACATTGCATCCTCCTTGAGTCTAGGGGACGTAAAAGAGGAGGGGGGCACCTCCTCCGCAAGCCCATACGTTTCACTACCACAGAGATGAAGCCCTTCCGCATGCATGCGCGTGCGCAGACCATATCTCGAACGGGTATGACAATCACCCGCCAACAATCAACGTCCTTTTCTTGTTGCGCTATAAAATTCGGAGCACATTGATAAAAGCCGCAGCGACCCACCGGGAACATCCGCGTACATGTCAATCGATCATGTTCCCAAGCAGGCTACCCCCCCACCACTATCCGCCAGAGCCAGTAGTATCGAGCCAGTCTGTCCATGCCGGCGAGAGAAAACCAGGATACAATGGTTGAACGAGAATTAAAGCTCGGCCCCCGAAAAAGAAGAAAAAAGAATAATAGGGGGGGTAAAATAATAATGAAAAAATGCAAAGGGGGAATCGTCTTTTCGAGTCCGGGTCGTTGAGATCGTCAGAACGACAAAGAAGAAACACATTTGGTATAAACCCAACGCATTGAGACACTCCCCAGCGCCGTTTCGCAGTGTTGCCCATCTCCCGAGTATCCTCAGAACAGCCGAGAAACCGAGGGGCCCTCTACCGGTTGGTCGGCTTGGCGTAGAGGTCTACGAATTATTTAGTATCGTTGATGTGGATGCGGCCGTGCCGACGCGATGTTGAGAGAGGGCATACCGGGAAAGTGCTCCTTGGCGTACTGTTCGCAAGCCTTGGCAGGCTTGCCGACCTTTTGCCCGATGACCTTCCACTTGTTGTTTTCGTACTCCTTGATGGCGTTGAGGAGGGCTTGGCTCTGTGAACTGTTAGCGGTACGTCGCGGTGGCAGCGTTCAAGAGGGTCCGCAACGAACCTCGTCTTCCGCGAACTCGGCGTAGTGCATATCCTTATACCAATGCTTCTTGACACTACCCTCAGTACGAGTGGGGAAAGTCTGCTATACGTTAGTTGCTGATGGGGCCAAAATGATGGCATTGGGATAAATACGAACCTTGGCAATCTCAGCCCAGCTACTGCCGGCATCTCTCATCTGCTTCAGGCGAAGCTCCTCTGCCGGGGTCCAGGGAGTATTCGTCCGGCTCTTTTTGGCCGGAGGAGGTTGAGGAGCAGCAGCAGCGTCTTCCGTCGCCGCAGGCTGGGCCTGAGCGGGAGGGGCCGCGGCGGGAGGGGCAACGGGTGGCGGGATGGGGGTTGCACTAGGCGCGGCGGGGGCAGCCGGCATAGAAGGGGCGCTTGTGACGACTGGCGGGGCCTGTTGAGCCGGAGCCGGGGCCGGACGCTTGCGGTTTCTCTGGGGCTGTGCCGGGGGCTGCGGTGCATGTTGCGGCTGCTGGGCGTGCTGTTGGGCATGCTGCTGCTGGACGTGCTGCTGTTGCTGCTGGTGATGTTGCTGGTGATGAGGCTGGGCTTGGGCCTGAGACGGCTGGGGCGGCGGCTGAGGCACGCTCATCGGAGGCTGCACCGGAGTGGGCTGGTGGTGTTGGGGGGCCGGGCTCTGGTGAGGCGGCGCTCCATACTGGAATTGCGGGTGCTGGTCCCGACGAGACATGTCCTGCTGATAAGGGTGTTGAGGACTAGGATGGAGTGGTTAGTGAAGTTTCATTGCAACAGGATCAGCATGGCGGGTGAATATGTGACGCGACGTGATGTGAGGTGACGGGTTCTCTCTTTCTCTCACTCTCCCGCCGCCCTCCGTAACGGGATTGTAACGAGCAAGCGACAGCGAGTCTGCACCATCGCCGGTAGCCAGGGTGGAGGTGTTTTTTGTTGTTGTTATTGCCTGTTACACCCTCCATTACACACCGTCAAGCAAGGCCAAGCATGGCCGGGGTTTGCCTGAGGGAAAGACATGCCGAGGGGTACATGAGGATGTACTCGAGAAACCCGTTGAGTGTGTGGCACCGGTACGCAGCCTCACGGGGCGGAGGATGGAATAGGAAGGGGGATGGATGGATGGGACGGGATGGGATGGGAGGGGAAGCGGGAGTGACTTTAGGCATTTTGCGGACAAAATGTAGAGGTCGAGGGGTACAAGGTGGAGGAGGTACTTACTGCATGTCGCTAGGCTGATGGGTGGAGTTGGAGTAGATGTACTCCGGCACGGGGCCGACTTGCCACTGCTGCATGTTCTAATGGGCCAAACCGTTAGCACCGCGTGTGAATGTTTCGCAACCAGAGGAAACGAGGTGTCGCGCCAAAGTCATAGGGGCAGGGTGAGAGGGCGGGTCCATCTAGTCCGTGTCCGTGACGCGCGAACGCGACACGGGCCGCTCGCGACGAAGGAGGGTACATGGTGTCGTGACTTGGGGACAAGGAACGAAACTGGTATCAGGTGTGTGGTGCCAACGATGGTGCTGACGATGATGATGACGGAAAGAGAAACAAAAGAGCAGGTTCTTCAATCGGGTAGTGATGGAGGCATGATGGGCTCGACATGATTGAAAGTGCGTCGGTAGAAATGAGGCGACAACGTGTCTACACTCGATACGGTGAGGTGAGGGTGAAGAGACGGAAGGAGAAGGAAAAAATTTGACTAGGTGACGGGGAACGGGAAAGACGCGACAGTGTGGGCGCCAACGAGGTCGATACAAGACGCGCGACAATTCAATCGTTGAGGTACATACGATGAGTCGCTCCTCAATCGGGACGATGGATGGAAAGAGACCTAGGAAATAGGGTGCAGGTACTTACGGGCAATGTAGTAGTGTTAACTCAACAACGATGCATAAACCGACCGGTTGATGGATGGAGAATATTGTCTCTCGGGGGTGGAAAAGCGACTTGGACCAAGCCTGACGTCGCAAGAGCAAGAAGCGGGTCACGCACACACGCCCGGGGTTGGGAAGGGCTTTTTTTTTTTCTCCTTTCTCTCTTTCTTTCTTTCCTTCCTCGGTGTGGGAAGGAGTGGGGGAAGGGATGGTCGGAATGGATGGTCGGTGGGATGGTTGGGGGAAGTAATGGAAAGTAGAGTCGAGATAAAAGGGACAAAGATACAAGGCGCGCGAGGCCGAGGACGTGTTTGCTTCAAGTACTCTTTTTTCTGGGGTTTGTTGGCGCGGCAGTGCGCGCGTGGTGGTGCGTGTGTATGTGGTGGGTTGGGCGAAAGCAACGCGATACGACACGCAGCAGCAGGAAGAAGGTGGGAGAAGGAGAGGAAGGGAAAAAAAAAAGAACCAGGTGGCGGCGCAGCCGTAGTAGCGGTGGCAACCAAGTATTGAGCCGGTAAACCTAGACGGAAGAACAGGCAGGGCAAGGATTTGAGAGGATAATATCAGGTGAAGGAGCGCTGCGGCCGAGAGGAGTTGACGCGGCGCGTGGGTTTGTCGAACCGAGGCCGACGGGTACTGGCAAGGAATGGATTGATTTCCCCTATGATGTGGAGAATAGAGTGTGATGGAAGGGCAGCAGAAGACGGCAAGAAGAAAAAAGGCGAGGAGAACAGATGGTACTGGGTGTTGATGTGCCCTATCGCGTCGCTGTCCGATGAAAATCAGGTAGAGGAGAGCTTCAGGCTAGACCTGGCGAGGTGAGGTCGTGGAGAAGATGAGATAGGTAGAGAGATGTACAGGCGGGTGCCGACAAAGGTAGCGTGATGTATCCGTCGAGGACACAGAGGTTCAGGCAGAGGCCCAGAAGTAGACAGGTGTCGAGGCAGTGCGCGAAATGTGCCGTGCGTTAGGTTGGCTGGAACCCCCCCCCCGGTTATGTGCGGAAGGATTGGATTGGATACAGGGTTTGGGCAGTGGCGGGGGACTCGGGCCAAGAGTCACGACTGTCGAACCGAGACGGGCGCGTGGCTGGCAATGAAAGAGAAAGCGGCAGCAAGAGAAAAGGCCGTTTGCTGTAGTGCAAAAATAATAGTAGCAACCGGAAGACCAGGAAGAGCCGATTAGCGGTGACGTGATGGTATTGCGTGGACAATGAGCTAAGGCGCGGCCCAATGTCAAGAGGAGAGGTAATGCGGACAGTGTAGGTAGTAGCGAGGCGACGAAGCTGTAGCAGCAGATAAGATGATGGGCCTGGAAACACCTCGAGGTGATGCGAGGGCCCGTGGGAGGGGGGAAAAGAGAGAGAGAGGTGATGAATTGGCTTGGGTGAAGTATCCCAAGGCGGATTGAGTTATGCGTGTAATCACCGACAGGCAGAGTGTGGCGAGTACAAAAGACAGCAACGGCGATGGCAACAACGACGGCGTCGACGATGGGCGTTTTGCTTCTTCTTCTCGAGACGTGATGGTGCTGTCTCAACAGCCGCGCACGCACGCGTCTAGAGGGAGATGATGTCGTGCGGTTGTCTTCTGAGAGCCGGTCCTCTTTTTGGGTCAACTGAGCCAGAGGTAGTGAGCGGTGGGAATGTACCGCGACCGTGTAGGTAGATGTAGCTACCTAGGTAGGAAGGTATCGGGCGGCTGCGGTAGCGAGGGTGGAGAGAGCTGTGATGGATGATGGATGTATGGATGTGTGGATGGAAGGATGTATTGAATGTATGTAGTAGGTTAGGAGTTGGGATGCGAAGGCCCAAGGACGTGGCGGATGTACCTTTGATGGAAGTAACTTCCTGGTTCACGGTGATGTTTTGGACCAGTTGCCCTCTTTTTCTTCGGCTGGTGAGAGAAAGTGGGTGGTGGAAGGGGGCGACGGACGGGTCAAGAGGGAAAATTGCTGAGGGAAAGGGCGAGGGAACATGGAAAAGAAACGAAGGAGGGAAGGAGGGGACGCCGGGGTGGCCACACGAGATAGAAAGTGTGGGTCCATAGAACCAGTCACCAAGTCAATCATAGACGCCGAGTATTAGCCGAAATACAGGCGTTGATCGTATATAGCTATCTGGACATATTGGCCGTCGACTTTTCAGACAAATGCACAGACCCATGCTCGGCTCGTACCGCACAGGCCATGTTGCTTGTCACTCGTCACCTCGTCATGGGCCGATGCTCACTGGCTGCTCCGTGCCCGGCCACTTCTCCGCTCTGTTCCTTCCAAGCACATGGGCTCGCTACTTCCCAATCCAAGGAAGCCGTCGTCGACTTTATATAGTCAGCCCAGTGACACCTGTACCGCCGCTCACTCTCATACGTCGTAGGGAATACATGATTTTTCTCAGTTAGCAATTGGGTGCGATGCGACTGCGAGCGAGCCCAGCCTAGTCAGGTTCAATTCGGTTCAGCTCAGTTCAGCCCAGCACAGCCCGTGCGGAAAGGCTCCCGTCGGTCATGGTTTCTATCGGTGCGGACGGACAGGTCGGATACGACGGAGTTTGACAGATACTCGCCCCGTCAGTCAGTCGTCGTATCCCTGGTCCGGCATTGGCCGTGCTGATTGATGACCTTACGTAGTAGTCACAGGCCGAAGCAGCGTTTCTTCTTGCGGGGAAACCCAGCCACTTCTATCATTATCATGCCAAATCCCCAACCCCCAGGCCAACGGCACCCAGTAGGTAGTGTAAATCAGTCGCAATCGCTCGATGCCAATCGCACAATCGGGTCCTGCGCCACTTTGATTTCCTGTTTGCCTGACGTGTCTGGCGGGCCTGGCGGGCGAGCCATCAACCAAGCAGCTCAGCAACCGCACCCCCTTTAACTGAGGGGATGGGGGAAACAAGCGCGATGGAGAATCGGAAAAGAAAGAGAAAAAAAGAATACAGCCAAAAGCCTCATCGTCTCCTACCCTTTTGATAGAATGAGCTTAAATGCCAGCCATGGCGCGAAGATGACCTGTGCCTACTGTGTATCCCTTCAGTGCAGCCTTTTCCAACATGTACTCGAAGTACCATCTGCATGGTCCATGTACTTGATCCTCGCCTCATGTACCTTCTGTTAGCGGTACTGCCGGTGGACACCCGTCAAACCATCCGACTCTAGACGGTACGTACAGTACCTCTGATCTCGTTGGGTACCTCTGCTTGCCGAGGCCGCTGCATGTACCCTTCTCGACCTCATGACCTGGGCACCTTGTGCTTTGTATTCCCATGCGTACCTCGCCGTGGGCCACAACGGAAATGATGATGCAGCTGCCCGAAAGAGCAACAACCTCTTGCTTCAGTGAGCGTGTCCGAGAGGTGGACTGAAATAGGTAGAGAACGGATTATCTCATATCCCGGTCTCTCATCACCCACAGCCCCGTCGTGACACCTCTCTCTGTGCGTACGGCCGCCCGGGCGTTACTCATGGGCCAGCGTGGCACTGACAGCACGAGCAAGCCTGTTCTAGGCACTGTCTCTCTGTTTTCCGCCGTCCCAGCGCTCAAGGTCCATGAGAGAGGGAGAGAGGAGGAGCCTCGTGGCATTCATCATCTTGTACGCCCAGGTGTCTGCGAACGCGCGTCTCATGGTTCCAGAATTATCGGGTTTGAGCTTGCGTCCATAGCCCAATAGGTATATCGCCTTCGCGAACCAAACCATTCGGTGGATGTCGAGTTCGCAAAGCGGTTTCTTCATCAGCACCCTGGGTAGCCGGCCACCGTCTTTGGAAATGCCGCGCTACGGAGCCCCCGCGGCTAACCCCGCTCTTCGTAACCACGGCGCGGGCTCCAGAAACCCCATGGCAACGGA